TAGTTGTCGAGGACATGGATGCTACTGTGGTTGTATAAAAAGTCCCAGTAACCGAACCGTGGTGAGGGGCCTGTGTCAGACTCATAAAAAGTGTAGCGGGAAGCCCTCTCGAGCACTCAGCGGCGTCTACCCAGTGTCCCCGGAGGTTGCTGGTTCTGGTTAAGAGTTGGTCAACTTCAGGAACATTCGTCGTTGTCCCAGGGGAGATATTTTGCGGCATCAGTCTCTTCTGGTTCCCGTTCTTTGCGCCCACGCACCACTACCACATCTACTTCGTACTCCATCCGGAGTACACTAGAAGAAACGTACTCGTACGTTGCTATAAACCCGTAGGCAGATTTCTTCCGGCTCGTCTCAGCAGCCTAGACATGCTGAGAAGGTCCGAAGCCTTCAAGCTCCCAGCCATTCAGTCAGGATAGGCCCACCGAGCCATACTCGATTGGATGTCTTTCAAGCCACAGAGCCGGACTAGAACCACGCCCGCGAATCCCTCCTCACCACCTGGCATCCACCGCGTACCGCCCGTGGCATGCCTATCAGTACGAGTACGGAATACACGGTCGGAGAATCTTCGACCTTATCACGATCAGCCCCCAAGGAACGCCCCAACCAAACCAGCCCGCACCAAATCGCCTTCCAACATCTCTGTCCCATCATTACCGGGGTACTCCGAGGCAAAGCCCGGACGGTGGACATTGGGCCTAGTGTTGTCTAGCCCGAGGGCCATGGCCATCGAAGGGGCCCAGCCACCGTCCAGGCACTGCCGCCAACGCCCGCACTCGCGCTTGCGCCTTCCTCACCTTGCCATTGAATCTCAATCAGTGCGACCTCAGTTACTGCCTTCATGTCACGAGCATTGGTTCCTCCCGCTGCGACATTATTCTCGTCACAACGTTACTCAGTTCTTGTCCATTCAAATTCTCGGTCTGGATTCTAACCTGGTCGGCCTCATCGCAACGGCTTGTGCCACAGTGTCGGACGATTTTCCAGGTGGCACCAACCAACAGAGGCGTGTCCTGTCCTGAGAGTCGCGCTTAGTCCGGAACGGAAAGCGATGGCGCCCATTCTGAGTGAGGGGAAGACCGGTGACAAGTGACCGGCAAGGCCACCCCTGACATCCTGGTCAGTAGTCATGGAATTCCTGCTCCCCTGCTCCTTGTCACTGACTTGCGGATGCTCGCAAGAGGTGCACAAGCCATCTCGCACTCAGCCGCGATCAGCTAGCTCTCGCGTCGCTACCTCTCTAGCCCCGACTCCGTCGTTGAGGTCAAGACACGTCCATCCCAGTCCCTTGCTCAAACTCTCGCGGTATCGTGCCGCAAGAGCACCTTGGCCTCGGTTAGGACAGAACACAGATGATGATTTTCCTCTTCACGAACTCCAGATTGGGGGGATCTGAGGCGCCCTCTTTGACGCTAAAGTGAGGTACGGCGGTAATCAGCTTCGATCGCCAGGAAGACGGCCACCTCCTCCGAAAGATTCTGAGTGCAGACTCAAGGTTCAAGAATATCCCATACGGTTCTGTACAAGCATTTGAGGCGAGTCGGTCTCAGACGCCCTGTGCTACAAAGCATTGTTCTCGCTGGCATTCCAGAGAGGTCCAAGGCCGATCCCGAAACCAGTCTCGGAGCTGATGGCACCATCTGTCAGCATGTGGCTGGCAAGCGCAGCTTCGGACCCTCGGTCATGACAAGTTTCAGGTTTAGCCTGATCCGGCTGCTGCGCGTCATGCTCATGGCCAACCGGCTGTTGACCGCCGAGCTGTGCCGCAAGCTTCGGACGGATGCGTCGCTTGAAGCGTGGTATCGATGTCGCCGTTCAACATAACCGATAGTCAATGCAAGGACTGGCGATGTTCCAACATGACGGAGATTGTACTCCTACTGAGTACGGAGTAGTGACGGCTTCATTCACTCGCGAATGAGTTATGTACCCGTCTTCCACAACCGTGGGTCTCCGTTCACGCGCCTTCAGTCAGGCAAAACGTTGAAGAGCAGTCAGGACGTACTGGACTAAACACATTATCGTTCACCTTGACACGGAATACCTTTGTTCCCACTACTTCCTCTTCGAGAGGGCCCTAGTCGCCAAATAACGCTCCATCCAGTCTTACTGGGCCATCCTTCTCAGATGGAGATTCAGGGCGTATTAGCAGTCCTTCATCCTCTTGAAGGCCTGTTATTCGCGAGATGCATTAATCACACACAGACCTGGGCACGATCAAGACATGCCAGCGTTGTGGTAAGTGCTGGAGTGGTCGCGGTTTTAGCCACACAAAGGTACTCCGTACCGCAAAAGCTCATCCACTGCTGATAGAGGGACCTTCATCTTGCGTGCATGCGGGGATGCACACGGGGCAGTTCCCGCTGTGCATCTGTATCCGCTAGAATTAAGGTCGCATTGCAGCTCGAATCGCCGCGTATGCCAACCAGAGGTGTGCAGGCTGCAAGATCAGTAGCTTCCTGAGGCCGCAATGCGTGGATGATGAGCCAGCGCGATCAAAGTGTGGTTTCTGCAAAGCTTGATCACGTCGTCGAGTTCGTCTTTCCAATCGTCTGCCCGCTTGAACCCGACTCGCTCTCGACATGGAGCTGTCATGCTCATGCACAGGCACAGCACTCCGTACTGTGGCATATGCAGCCGCGTCGACCAGCTTCCGATTTTCAGCCTCTCGCTCATCCCGCCGTCTCAGGTGCAGGACGGTCTCGGGTTCCTGATCCGCATGTCAACTGTCATGGAAGGATACGCGGCTTGGAATGACTCGGAGGTGTCTTAGCCCATGACTGCGAGTACGAGTTAGATGGCGACGTGCAGATCCGCACTCTGGGTTATCACATGAATAGCCTTTTTTGTTAGCCATCACCATCCCTTTCCGGAACGTTGGTGAAAGAGAAGCCAGGGTCGAGCATTTGGCGGAGGCCGGCTCAGAATCCACAGCCCGCCTTACCGCCCACATCCCAACATCTGCTGTGTTGTCAATGCATGATTTGCGGAGCATGTGCCCCAGCACCGCTCCTCTTCCTGGCTTCGACCAGGTGTGGCCCCGGGTGACCAATTACTGTACTCCGTATTCCACAGCGGTCGCACGGTTCGCTAGATCAGCGCCCATGTCTCCGTCCATCCTGTACGAGTTACACAGTACTAAGAACTCTGAAGATGGGATGCCTTGCTGTGCTCCCAGCCATGGTTTTACTTCTTTTGGCGACGCATCCACAGCGTGACTTTTTCACCACGGCCGCGTCGCTCGCTCCGAAGGTGGCTGTCGTGTCTACGGAGTTCTGTGTTGGCCGTTGTCCCGTGGTGTCAGTCGTGAGCCATCTCAAGAAACTAGACACATTTCACATCCTGCCATGTCCAGCCTTCTCTCCCGGTGTTGCATTGCACTGCATCCGATGGCCTGCTCACTGCAGGTTCAACGATCTTGCATCGATCGCCTGTGCAGGAAGCACTGCACCAGAAGAAAGTTGACGACGGCCAACCATTGAAAGAAATGGCCACCAGATCGCCGTCGTGAGCTCAACGTAGCACCTCGCTTAGCCGACGCAGAAGCAACGATAACCCCGTTCCGAAAGCGGCAAAGGGCCTCTGACAAGGGACGAGGAAGTACGAAGCAGCCGCGAATGTCGGGACAAGCACCGGATCCCCAAGGGCTAGTGAACGCCGTGTTTCGAATTTCTCACAGGCGCAGCGCTCGATTGGCTGTGATTCATCCGAGCTCCTGTCGGTAAGTCGACGGAACAGCCTTCCCCTTCTCATGCATATCACAGTTGCAGGCACCGCATCGAGACGAGACGCCATCCAATACGTCGGACAAGCCTCGAGAAGGGGGTGAAAGAGGGATCCAGAACGTGGCAACATGTCACGAAGCAATCGCACAGCAACAATGTCTTGCATGGTCAGATCCAGGGCTGCTCCGGACCCAACAATCAAACCCCTTACATGAAGTGGTACGCCTTGTCTGGTCAGCACACTATCGTTATACGAGGTGTGTTGTATTCGTCCGTGTCATCCCATTCCTCACTTCCTCTCGCTGATCGGAGATCATCCGGCACGAGGGAGTCCAATAAGACGAAAGAGCGTCGCCATCACTAGCGACGGGGACGTTCAAGGGTATCATAAAGTTGAGTCAAACTCATCACAATTGAAATCAACCCTGCGGCCAGTGTCTGGCACTCCAGCTCCTTCGAACGCAGCGCACTCATTTATGTCGATGACTTGGAAAGCCGGATGCTTCCACGATCCTGAGTGGTGGTCAGGTTGAAACAACATACTCCTGGGTCAATCAATGCGAAGTCAAAAAGAAAGGAAAAAAGGTCCAGCCCTGCGAGGCTTTAGCACTCACCGATACGCAGGGCGAGAGGCTTCCTGCTTGCCTCGAGGTTCCGCGTCCCTTGATCCATTGGGATTGCGTGCGAGGGATATCCATCTCATGTCGTGTAGCGCGTCTGCTTCCGAGGCTGGCAGCTTCACCAGTTGCTCTCCTACTCCTGAATCTTGTTCAGCACATCGATGCTGTAGACGCGCTTCCCCTCTCGTCCGGAGAAGTACACCCAGATGCCATCGGACCTCCCTACGAGCGAGGGAAGCTGGTTAAGGAGGATGACGGCAAGTAAAGATCAGGCTTCAAAGTGACAAGTGATTGTCTTCCCCTTCTGTCCAGCTATAGCATTCTTGTAATGACAACCCAGGACCGCGTGTAGCAGAGCAATGGCACAAAGGTCAGATAATCTTGCAACCACAGCCTCGGATGGGTTGTAAGACGTGGTGTCTCCTGATTCCTCCCCACAAGGGCGTGCTTGTCTGCTCTCAAGCTCGACGCATCATAGCCCGTGCTCACATGTCGATGTCAATCCACCAGAAACGCTGCGTGAGATCTGCCAGCCCTTCGAGTCCTTTTTTTTGGTATCCCCAGGTCATAGTTGTACAAAAGTCCCGCCACCAAACGCCATGCTATGCATTTCGTCCCGTAATTGCCCCCTTCCACCCGCCGTAAGTAAGGATCAATCATCCCCGTACTCTGCATCGTCCTCCTCGTCATCGGCTCCGCCACCGCCACTACCAGCCGGGACTCCAGCCCTTGCCGCTCCCGTGCCAGTAGCATAACTACTGAACTTTGCATCCTCTGCCTCCTCCTCGGCAGCCTGCTTCGCGACCTCCTCACAAGCATCGACCCAGTCCGAGTACACGTCGACAGCGGCCGACAGATAGTTGATTCCCGTCTGATATTTCTGGTTGCAGACTTTGCAGTGCAGGTTGCCGACGCCGGCCTTCTTGTCAAGTTTCACTTGGATCGCTTTCTCGTGGTTGCAGAAGAGGCAGGTAAATGTCGAGGCGAGCGGTTCGCGCTATGTAATTGAAGTGAGGACGTCAGTCTAAGGGCATGCGGCGTTCTGAGATGGTGATGGACGAAGACTGCGAATTCAGGATGGGCTACCAACCTTCCTTGGGCCTTGCGGCTTGCGTGATGACTTCTTGCGCTTGCCCTGTGCGCGACTTGTCAGACAGAGACCGTGCTGGGATCTTTCTGAAGGCATACCATTGTGATCTCAACAGTTCTCTCGATCGAGCTGGTTATGGATCGAAAGGGGAGGTTCGAAGTTGTTTTGAATGCTCGCTGATGGGATAGTGGTAATGAACGTCGTCTTGTCTAGTGATCGCGGATGCACAAGCAGCGGCGGCTCTTACATAAGCGCGTCTCAGTCACGTGCACTACCCAAAGCTTATCTTATCGCAGTCGGTAGCCTCCGACAGCCGCCCCACCAATCAGACACCAGCCGCATCGAGGGGCACGTCCACACACAGACACCGGGGATCTGCCTCAAGAGCTTCCTCCTGTCACCCTCGTCACGATGCCACCTCATCGATAGATAGATTGGTCCTTTTCGATTATTTTTTATCCCGTACTACTCTGTACACGCATCTATGTCTTTGTACGTCTATCCTTTGTTTTAGACCGCTGTGGAAGACGCGACGTCTGGATCTCACGGGTTGTATCAGCGCAAGGGCGTACCAACATCGTGGAGGCTGGGTATTCGTCAGCAACGGCACACAGAAAGGATTGAGAGTCGCCAGCTTGCACGGAGTCCTTCGTCATATATACAGTTTTGAAAGGCGAGGCTGAGATTCGTTGGTCTATTGTCTGTTTGACACCATGGCTGCTTCTTCACAACCTCCCGCCAACGGGGTGACCACCGAGCTCGTCCTTTCAGAGATCCTCTCTACCCTGAAGACGATGCAGGCCGACCACGCAAACCTGGCAGCCAGCGTCGAGGCTCTGCAGAGCAAGGTCGATACTTCGCACTCGATCAGCCAGCTCAGGCCGGCACCTGGCCAGAGAACAGGCAATCGAGATTCGCGAGATTCGCCTAGCCTGGATCCCATCCAGTTGAGCAAGTCGGCCACGGGAGCGGCTTCGCCTCCCACAGACGCAACTCTCAGAGCACCGTCGTCACCCACATCTGGAGCCAGGAAATCCTCCATCACGTCACGCATCATCCTGACCACGTACCCAGGCCAATCTGGGATCGATCCCATCCCGATGGAATGGGGTGACCCGGACCCAGCCAAACGTGGCCCGATTGTGGTTTCTCGGCATCACAACACCATCCGTCGCCGCAATGCCATCGGCGCCCACGGGGGTTCGTACAGCATTTACCACGCCCTAGCGGTCGCGTCGCACAACCTGAACCTCGAGCATAAACCCGACTTCACCAACACCGAACCGGCCGCCACGATCGGCCCCTTCCCGGCGTGGGGGGACAAGAAGAAGATCGTCGCCATGGATCCCTTTGGTCATCTGGCGCCCTGGCTGTACAAGGACCTGATCCAATCGCAGGACGTGGACATTCGGCCCACCATCGCCGTGACAAAGGCGCACATGAAGATCCCGGAGCTGGAACAATCCGTCAAAGCCGGCCGGTTGAGACCCGACGGCCGGATCTGCTTGAACGACACGGGCGAACTGAACGTGACCAAGTTTGCGGTCGAGCCCGTGTGGTACCTCCCCGGGGTGGCGGAACGGTTCGGGATCGAAGAATCGGCCCTCCGACGCGCCCTGTTCGAGCACACGGGCGGGTCATACCCGGAGCTGGTCACGCGGAACGACATCAAGGTCTTCATGCCCCCGATCGGCGGGCTGACGGTATACTGCTTCGGCGACCCGGCGAAGATGGCGGATCCCAACGTGCGCCTGGCGCTCCGGGTCCACGACGAATGCAACGGCAGCGACGTCTTCGGCTCGGACATCTGCACGTGTCGACCGTACCTGATCTTCGGGATCGAAGAGGCCGTCAAGGAAGCCCAACGCGGCGGGTCCGGCGTGGTCATCTACTTCCGCAAAGAAGGCCGCGCGCTCGGCGAAGTCACAAAGTACCTGGTGTACAATGCACGGAAACGCGGCGCCGACCGGGCGAGCGAGTACTTCAAACGCACCGAGAACATTGCCGGGGTCAAGGACATGCGGTTCCAGGCTCTCATGCCGGATATATTGCATTGGCTGGGCATCACCAAGATCGACCGCATGTTGAGCATGTCCAACATGAAGCACGACGCCATTGTCGAGCAGGGGATCCCCATTCTCGAGAGGGTGCCCATCCCGGATGAGATGATCCCGGAGGACTCGAGGGTGGAGATCGACGCAAAGATCCACGCCGGATACTTTACGACCGGCAAAGTCATGTCCATGGATGAGTTGAATGCCGTGCAGGGTCGAAGTTGGGATGATATCGAGCATTAGGAGGCTGTTAGCGAGCGATGAGCACAAGCGTAAAGCATGAAGCACAAGCACGAAGCATGAGGCATGAAGAAGAAGGGTGGGATAGTGGGATAGTAGGATCGTGGGATAGTAAAAGAGTAGACCGACGTGTCTGGGTGCTTTCCAACATGTATCCACGCCGTGTGACGCCTCCTTATGTTCCCTTTCGAAAGCATCCATCACAGCTAAGCATACCCTCTATGTTACTCCTACACGGCCAAACATTCCCCTCCGAAAGCATCCATCACAGCTGAGCATTCCCTCCTATGTTACTCCTACGCCGCTGAACATTCCCCCTTCGAACACTCCTATTCGCAGGAGGAACGCACTCACCCACAGTCCATGTTCTCATCATGTCTGTCATCGAGATCCATATCCATATCCGTATCCAGATGTCGAATGGGTGATACGAGAGTCTCAACCTCGCCAGAGTGACCTGGACACGGCGCAGTCAGGCAGGAAGTCAGTCAGTCAGGCAGTCCACTCGTATTAATCCGCGGACAAATATGACAAATGACAGTACGTCTCAGGCCTCGTCTCGATGGGGAACAAAGACGACTCAACATGCGACACACAAGGTATTACTCGTGTCTCGTGGCTCGTCCATGTTCTGTAGGACCGGTCGGCAACACATAGACAGTCGGACGGACAGATGGACGTTTGTGTAGTGGGTATGTAATTTCAGACGGTATCATGGGGATCCTAGGCAAGTGCATAAATTACCGTCCGCGTAATGAACTCAAGAGCAGGATTAGGGGCGCTGATGAGCGGTTCAGGCAAGGATTAGTATTTACCAGTTGGCGTCGATACGGCTTGCTGTATGCTGTATGCTGGAGGTCTGTCTGACACACGGAGAATATGTATCGTAGATGTATTGTCTTGTCTGCTCTAATCTGAACGACTGTAAACATGTCAGTGCTTCTTGGATATTGAGGCTACGTCCGTCCACTTATATTCTATATTAAGTAATTAAGAAGAAGCAGGTTCATAAGTATGTAAGGTAAGTAAGCTAAGTCCGAGGCAGGGATTAGACGCAAGTATCTCATATCAGATATCCCACATAATTACAGCTCGCACATGGAATACCCACACACACATCCACATACATTTCACCTCGGTGTCCACGCTTCTACCCACGACATCCCGACTACAGCTTCGGCTTCGAGGTCCCCTGCTGTTTCTTCCTCTCCTCACACCACTCCTTGACCTTCTGTCTCGCGACCTCGACGACCTCTTTATCCTCGACCGTGGCAGGCACGTTGACTTCCTTGTCGTAGTTCCCTTGGACGCCGTTCTCGACCAATTCCCGCAACACTCGCCTCAGCGTCTTGCCGCTTCGCGTCTTGGGGATCATGCCCTTCCCCTGGATGATGCCGCCCAGCGAAGCGATGGCCCCGATCTGGTTGCGCACAATGTTGTTGATCGCCGTGAAGAACTCCTTGTCCGGCGTGGCGGGGAGGTCTGCCGACGTGGCGGCCGCAGGGATCACAAACGCAAAGGGCAAGTGGCCCTTCATGGCGTCAGGGATGCCCACGACGCAAGCCTCGGCGACTGACGAGTGCGAGGTGATGGCTTGTTCGATGGCACCTGTAACGTACGTACGGTTATGTGTTAGTGATTGAGTTCGACGCAAGCCTGACGCCCGTGAGCATGACATGAAGAGACGTACCTGTGCTGAATCGATGGGCCGCCACGTTGATGATATCGTCCGACCGGCTCATCACATGGACGTAGCCGTCGTCGTCGATCATACCGGCATCGCCAGTGTCTATCCACTTGCCCTGGAATCGTTTCAAATATCCCTTGTAGAAGCGTGTGTCGTCGTTGAACAAGGTCGTGAAGCCCGTAGGTGCCAACGGCATGCCCAGCACGATATTGCCCATGTTGCCTTGATTGACCTCGTTGCCTTCGTCGTCGACAATTCGCACGTCCCAGCCGGGCATTGGCTTTCCTGCACTGCCGGGCTTGATGGCCAACGCTTTGTGCTCTTCGCGGCTGTGAGGGTCGAGGCCGATGGCGGGCCGCAAGGCCAGTCCAGTCATCGGACTACCGCTCTCGCTGGACCACCAGTGGTCGATTACTCTCGCGTCGGGAGCTGCGTATTTGCCGATCAATTCCTGGTAATGAGTGATGATGGAGGGCTCGGATCGTTCGCCGGCCAGGAACAGCGAGCGCCAATGTCTCAACGAGCCTTTCTCGCCGCGTTGCTTGAACAGTTCGTCTTTGGGGTCCTCCTTCCGGATGGCTCTCAGAGCAGTGGGCGCGGTGAACAGGGTCGTGACTTTGTATTCCTCGACGATGCGCCAGAAGGCCCCGGCATCGGGCGTGCCGATGGGTTTACCCTCGTACAGGATCGTCGTCGCCCCGGCCAAGAGCGGCGCATAGACGATGTACGAGTGCCCGACGACCCAGCCGATGTCGCTCCCCGTGAAGATGACATCTCCTGGCCCCTTGACGTCGAAGAGGTATTTGATGCTCAAGCTCAGACCGACCGCATGGCCTCCAGCCTCGCGGAGCACCCCCTTGGGGAGACCCGTCGTGCCACTTGTGTAGATGATGTACAGGCCATCGGTGCTGCCCACGGGGACGGCCTCGGCCTTGACGCCGCGGTTCCGAGCGCTCTTGACGAGACGCTGCCAGTTTCGCTGGCCCTGGTCTTTCTTGACCGGGTCCCACCGTCTGATGTCCCGCTGCCAGATGATCGTCTTGGCGGGCTTGAAACTGCTCTGCTCAATGGCACCTTCCACGAAGGGCCGGTATCCGAGGGGCCCCTTCGCGCCCTCGATGGCGCAGCTTGCCGTCAGAATGACTTTCGGTTTCGCGGCTTCGATCCTCTGTGCCAGACTGGCGGCCGCGAAGCCTCCGAACACGACGGCGTGCAGGGCGCCCAGTCGGACGGCCGCTAACATGCCAAAGATGGCGGCAGGGATCATGGGCATGTATATGAGCACCACGTCGCCCTTCTTGACGCCTTCTTCCCGCAGCACGCCCGCCAGCGTCTCCACCTCTTCCAGCATCTGGCTGTACGTGTATTTCTCCTTGGACCCACTGACGGGCGAGTCCCAGATCATGGCCGTCTTGTCGCCATTGCCGGCCTTGACATGCCGGTCGAGGCAGTTGTAGGTGGTGCTGATTTCGCCATCAGGAAACCACGACCAGTGTGGATGTGTCGTGCCGTCTTTCAGCTTCTTGGTGTGCTGGCGGAGGACCGTGCTGTACGGTTTGTGCCAGTAAAGCTCTTTTGCGTGCTTGTCCCAGAACCGGGTGGGATCAGAGAGGGAAGCCTGCTGCACCGCGTCTTGAACGGTGTTATGCGGTGCCATGGTGGGAGGAGGTGGAACTGTGGCTGTGGGAGCGCTTTCGGTCGAGTGTGGTCGACAATACCTCTGGTGCAGAGACAGCGACTCAACTCGGGACGAAGATGTACTGTGTAATACTGGCGAGGGCAAGGACCAACGGGTCGAGCGCCTTAGAGCCTGTTTGTCCTGTTCGAGGGTGGAGTCAACCGTTCAATTCATATACAGATACAGATGCAACTGATGAGACAAGGCCGCTCAGTGGATTTGGCATTCTATCCGAGGAGCCTCGCAGACACGTCGCTGCGGTCCAGCTCCTGAGCAGTTATGAAGCTGGAGCTCGTGCAACAAAGACAGTACGAGCACCAGGATCCAATCACTGCAGAGAGAATACTGTTTGCTGTCAGGAGCTGCTCACGGCAGCGCAAGCGAAGTCGGTCGGGCAAGCGGAGCTGCGTGCTTGAAGAGCGACATCAGACGATCGTCACCGATTGTGGGGGATGAGAAGCCGGGGTGCTGGGAATGATCCGAGGCTGGAGAGTCCCGGTGCAAGGGGGCCAGGCGGTGTTCCAGGCCTGACCGGGCTTCTCTTGCAGCAGCGTCGGAGATGCTTCGGGGGTGCATTTCGCGGCGGTCTTGGTGTCTCCTGATATGGAGAAAGGGCCCTGTAAAGGAAGCTCATACGCAGGGGTCAGGCAACATTCAGTGGCCAGGGACGTCGATTCCATTACGAGTAGCAAGCATTGGCATGAGCACCCAAGCTTGATACAGCGTCCCAAACGAAGCCCGACTGTTTTGGTTTGTAATCTCCAGGGCTTGTGGCTCTGGCACCAACACGACTAGCAACACAAAGCCGGGAGACAGTCGAGAGGCTTCACGATGAACCATGCCATACAAAGATTTAGTAATGCTCAAGTGCAGGAAGCCCACGCAATGGGAGATCAGCCCGCAACAGCTGTAGAGCCAAAGGATGGATATACATCGAGGGGAATCAGTCCATGTCATTTCATCTCACACCTCACGACGCAATAAAAATGCTATCCAGAAAATCCATTCATTAAATGTTTAGCACCCAGGTTGAGGGCGGATTGTCATTGTCCTATGCACGGTACTGTACATCGTATCGACCACCTCGTTCAATCGGCCAGCCTTGTCCTGTCCAGGGCGGCCGCTGCGAGTTTGCCGAAATGACCATGCTGCAGATGGTCAAGGCTTGTCACAGCCGGCCTGGCTGGCCGTTGATTCCACCCCAGGCCCGTGCTGAGAATGCAAATGCACGTCCATATTGTCAAGTCGAAGCTAAGCCTGCCTGTCGACCATTTCCAATCATAGCGAACAAAGATCTCCAATTTACAGGAGGAAGGCAGCGATGGCACCAACACCAGCAAGACCAGCGCCGACGTTGGCAACGAGGGCGTTGGCAGCACCGGTGTAGGTGGCCACAGCGGCAACGGTGCTGGACGGGGCGTAGCTGGACCAGACAGCGGTGGTGCTCTCAGCAGCAACGGGAGTGTACGAGGTGGCGACCTCGGCGGTCGACGTGGTCCAGTCAGACCAGGTTGCGGAGGCCTCAGGGGTGCTGGAAGAATCAGTCTGCGGAAAAGCAAAACAGTCAGCTTGGTTCAAATACCTGCAAGATGTGGAGGTCTTGGTGTAGACGGGAACAGAAATGGTGCACGGGCAATCAGTGATAGTCAATGTCGTGGCTGATGAGATCTCATAGGTCTTGCCAGCGTGGTTGAACGACGTTGCCCCGGGAACGTAAGTCGTAATAGCACTCACAACGGTGGTCGTATAGCTGACTGGGGCGCTGGAGGACCAGTCGGCCCAGGTGTGAGTGCTCGAGTCGGCAACGCTCTTGACGGTGGTGGTGGTAGCGGCCGCAGCGCTGGAGCTGGTGGTCCAGTCAGCCCAGGAGTGGGAGGAAGTGGTGGTCTTGGCGGCAGCGGCGGGAGTGGTGGTTGTGGTGGTCGAGGAGCTCCAGTCAGACCAGGTGGCGACACCAGCGGAGGCGGTGGAGGCGAAAGCCGCGACGGCAGCAACAGCAGCGGTGACCTTCATTTTGATGGATGGAGTAGTTTCTGGATTAGAAAACTAGGTGGTGGATTTGAGGTTGCTGGGTTTGTTGTAAAAACGAGTGTGGGTGGTACAAAGACCGGCGTTGTGGTTGCTAACGAGCGACTGGAAGTTGGAGTTTGATCGTGGGATGGAGAGAAAAGAGAAGTTAGACCGTCGACGCGAAGAAGCTGGCCTCATATACACTGGTGCTGACCCATGGAAGAGTGTATGGGAAATTAGGGTATCATTTTAGTGTCGATACTTAACAACGCGACGGTCCTGGGTGGGTTGCGTGGTGGAGGAGGCCATTTTCCTCTGTCAGGGGTAGCGGCGGGTCTGTCTGGTCGCCGACGCAATAGCGGCGCCCACATGGTGTGCTTGGGGCAGCCTCATCAAGCCTCCGGCCGCTGCCATTGGCTTGACGTTGACTTCGTCCGAGATTGTGGCGGCGAAAAGTGCCACGGCTTTCACCAACCTTTGGACCTGTCTCATCGAAGCTTGGGACGCCCGTGTGAGGTTGGAGGCTGAAGGACTGCATCGTGACGTTATTTGTCGACTGTCAAATCAACAGTTGACAGCAGGACTGGCGGAAGATCATATATTTGAGGGACGGTCATTTCTCTTCCCATATCTGCCAGTAGTGCGCAGGCAATTGCTCTGGTAGCACCAGCAACACCTGCGATGCATACGATCCTGGAAGAAACGACTTTCATCGGTTGGTGTTTACCGGGTATGAGAATAGGAGAGCAGATGGCCCCGCCTAACCACCTCCGCGATGTTAACCGAGATGTTCCCAGATGGCTCGAGCGCAACACCATGATGAATGCGGAGTCCAGTGCTGTGTTTCGTCTTCCTCGCCTTCCACGAGCACGGTGACAATCGGCGTGTGTGAGCTGAGGTGAATACTCCTCTCAGGGACTCTGACTCTGACCAGCCGAGCTTGGCCCGTGGCCAGCAGTCAGCGTCGACACTGCAGACTGTGTACGGCTTCGAATCACCGTGAATTCGTGCATGACCGCTCCTGGGCAGGTGGCGATTGTGGACGGGGACCGTGAAGGAGGCCGTGCGGGTGGTCCCTCTGGACTACTGGGTACAGTATGGGGACGGAGTGAGTAGGTCGTGTTCGCCATGGCAGCGCAGAAGAGTGGAGGGGAAGCCTTCGCGGTTGCTGATCTGGCGCTGTCGGAAATGAGCGGGTGAGATTGTGCTGAGGGAGCCAACGAATCGGCGAATTCAGCGAGCGCCGCACCTGCCACTCCGGCACCGCCCGCGCCTTCCCTCTTCCAGTTGTACCTCCTTCCCTGATCGAGCCGCTGTTTGAACGTTTGATTGGAATGTTCAGCGTTACAATGGGCAATGATCGCGGCTCCATCGGTGGTTTCGAGCATGACCTGCAGCTTCTTGCTGTCTAGAGATCAGTAGCCGATGATCTGGAAGGATGACTGTCAGTACTCCGTACTGTGTAACAGCAGTCATTGGCACACACACGACGATGCGAATCTTTCTTATTCGAAGGCCGGCGGCCATATCGCTACGAAGTCGAGCCCCCTGCCGGTGTCCAGGGTAGCCACGAGTCGCTGAATATAGTAAACGAGCGTACGGATATACTCTATGGACACCAAGTCTGGGAATTGTATTCCGTTCCCATAGCCCGCATACTGTGCAAGGTCGGGTTCATCAAACCAACCGCTGTACTCTGCCGCGGGAGAAATGAGATACGGAATACGGAGTACAGTATCATTCATCCCGTCTCCTGAGGGTTATACTGTGGTCCCCCTCGATCCAAGACAGCAAGAACAACAGAGTATCAATACCCTCCCCGTCCTCACCGTCATGAAGATCCGTCGCAACTTGCCCGGCAAAGATTACTAGATCCCACAAACGATGGGCAGTCGAAAGCAGCGCTTCTTGTCCCTCAGGTCCAGAGCCTGAGTCACGTACGCGATGCCAGGCTTGTGGACACGACATCTCATCCACGTGGCGCATGGCCTATCGATTTTCCTAAATTCACGATAGAGCGGCCCGATGAAGTAGACCCAGGACAAAGTTGCACCGCTCGCTCTCCTGTCGATCAAACAGGCACTGGTCCACTGTCCTAATCCACTATTGCCCAAAAGGTTCTCTGCTTCAACACGAGAAGGAGCACAGAAGCCAGTTCAATCAACGTACGGAGCAGCTGACAAGCAGTTACACAGTACACAGCACAGTGCACATGCTTTCTACCTACAGCTGCTGTCCGGGTTCTGCTACCATCGCTTTCTCCGCCATGCAGTCCTGCATTATAGCCACCGAGGCGCGGTGCGGAACGGCGACTGCAGTAGTCTGAAACTCGACCTTCGCCCTGGTCTGAGACAACGCCTAGGGGGGCTTCAAACTGGATGCGAGATGGAAAGATCTCGATCTCGCTATCGGTGAAACATGGCCACAACTTCCGACCGTCCCCGTTCCCCCTTGGACACGTGAGCTCTCAATTTCACCGCTCGAGAGTCGTCAAAGTGCCAATTCGACATGATGAACTCCAAATCGCGTCGGCATAATTATTGGGTACGCACCCCGTAAGTGTGTGAAATGAAAGCCGTTTCTCACCCACCCAGAAAAGGAGTCGACAAACGGAGTTCTCGACTTGGTTGTTGTTGGGCTTTTCGCTTACCGTGCTACGGCATCGTGCTATTGCTCGCCAACGAACGCCCTCATAAGTCCTTGAAGCCACGATTGGATAGACCTCACGCCCGCAGCAGCATTACACAGGAAGCTCGCGTGCCTTGGACCCTCCGGTCCTCGACTTAGACACTGGGCGAGAAGTGTCGTTCGCAGCATCACAGTCCTCATTCTCATCCTCACCCATTGAGTCCCGCAGTCTCATTCAGTGTTCCTCATCTCGCCGCCCCGTCCGTGACCCACGGCTCCGGGAAAGTGCCCACCCAGTCCTCTACCTCCTGCCTCAGCGTCAAGATCTCCGACACCTCCGTCCCATCTTTTAGAAACTCCAAGAAGCTCTTCACGGCCCGCGGGTTCTTCTTTCCCTTCCCCTCGGCATCTGACCGCGCATTCTTGTCAACCTTGATGGCGATCGCCACGGCGCGATCCACTATCTCGGCCACACGCGCAAAGTCACTTGGTTGAAACCCCCGCGTTGTCATCGCTGGCGAACCCATCCTCAGCCCACCGGGTTTGAGAGCCGATTTGTCGCCCGGGACCGTATTCTTGTTGGCGGCCACGCCGCAGAGTTCAAGCACACGCTCCACACGAGCGCCATCAATGTCCTTCGACTTCAGGTCCACAAGGACTAGATGATTGTCTGTCCCACCACTGACAATGTTATAGCCTAGACCACCCGTATACGCAGAATTGCCCAGTCTCTCCGCCAAAGCCTTCGCGTTTGCAAGGACAGTCTTCTGGTATTCCTTGAACTCTTTCGACTGAGCCTGCTTCAAGGCTACCGCTAGAGCCGTGATGGTATGATTATGAGGGCCCCCCTGATGACCCGGGAACACGGACGCGTTAATGGGCCCTTCGAGATCGTACATTTCCTTCTCGCCCTTTTTGGTCGTTCGACGGACGCCCTTGCGGTAGAATATCATCGCTCCGCGAGGTCCACGCAGGGACTTGTGGGTCGTGGTGGTCACAACGTCGGAGTACTGGAACGGCGACGGAATCACATCCGCAGCAACCAGTCCAGAGACGTGAGCCATGTCGGACAAGAGGTAGGCACCTGCTTGATCAGCAATGGAGCGCATCCGCTCATAGTCGATCAGTCTGCTATAAGCAGAAGTGCCAGCGATGATAATCTTGGGTCGATACAGCAGCGCATTTTCCAGCAGCTTGTCGTAGTCGATCAGACCGGTGGACTCATCGAGGCGATATGGGAAGGTCTCGAAATACTTGGAGATCATGGAGATTTTCTTGGTTGGAGTCTGATAGCCATGAGACAAGTGGCCACCGTGTGGGAGGTCAAGCCCCATTATCCGATCGTGGGTGTTGAGCAAAGCCGAATAGGCGTACAGATTCGCGGGAGAACCGGAGAGGGCTTGGGGTGGTCAGCGTTGATGATCAACAGTTAGGGGCTTTTATCACTGACGCTGAACATTAACCCCCCATTCCTGAGGATCTAGACGATACGTTTCGAGAGCTCGCTTCTGACACAGTGTTTCTGACTCATCAATATGTTCATTGCCGCCGTAGTACCGTGCTCCAGGATAACCTTCAGAGTATTTATCTGTACCGGTGTGAGGATGGGTCGTGCTCGGAGGAGAAATAAGAATCTTACTTTGCATTACACTCCCGAGAGCGTCGAGCACTGCCTGTGACGTGAAGTTCTCTGAGGGGATGAGGTTGATGAAATGCCTTTGTCGCCGGATTTCCTTCTGCAGGATCTGGTAGATCTCTGGATCTGCCTCTTTGAGGTGCTCGCCCAAGAGCTAAGAACGTGTAAGAGGATGACTTTCCATCTGAAACAGGATGGAGTTTACCTTGTTTTGGGCCTCTGTTTGGGGGGAACTCAGTGGTTGAGAGGACGAAAGCCTTCTGACAGAAGCCCTGCACGAGAGGCATACTGACGGCCTCGTGGAAAGCGGCGACCGCCATACCCGCCTTGTGAGCACTGAACGTGCCATGTTCGGTCGGAGCAGAGCAGTGGCGAGCAGCCTGTTTAACAAATCTCAGACACAATCGCAACTGAAAAACGGTGGTGGGATAGAAGATCTCGATAATTCAATAGGTCTCGATGTGAGCGCCCTCAAGAGTCTCGCTCTGGTAATGGATGCAGACAAAAACTATCGCCTAGCCGCACTGCACATGGCGCCTCACCCTTGTCTACCTTTTGGAAGCAAGACCGACCTGCAATTCAGGAGATGGAATGACTGATAATGTACTCTTCATGCTCCTCCAGAGTGGCGTCACCTCAAGGAATGAAGTCCAATGGATGCGGAGGCTTGACCGGCGTCCAATTACTCCGCCGAAGTTATTGAGGAAGGTTACGCGAAAGCCAAAACTTTTCAACGTCAACCCGCTTTCTTTCCTGCTTTGCTCTCTCCTCTTCACAACTAAATCCAAGATGAAGAGAACCTATACGTCAAACACAGCTCCCGCGCTCTGGCTCTTGGGCCGGAGGTCTGTGGGCGGTGCTGAGATGTCCTGGGCCAAGCACCACCTTGAAGGACAATTTGAAAGGACTGATTGGAAATGTTGTTAAATCCCTGGCGAAGACCATCACCAACAAGAACGGGCGGTTATGGCTTCATCTCTACCTGACTATTGTGGTTCCAATTGTCGATGCGCGCAGGGTTTTGAGTATAGGACTTGTGTATGACGGACTCGTCTTGGGCTCTGCAACGATCTCTCATCCCTCTGCTGGTCGAACCCGAGAATTGCTAGGCAGTGATTGTGGAAAGTTCGGAAGTCTCCGAGGCTGAGTATTCATGATCTCCTTGGGGATTCTTACCACCATCAATCGACTGCATTGAAATCTCCTACCCTCCTGACTAGCTGCCTCCTTGGTTATGATGTCCACCAAAGTCTCCTTCACGATCACAGCTCTTCTTCCTGCCCTGAGCGACCAACGTCATGTTGTTCCTTCCCATTGTCGAAGCTAGACATCACTGTCGCTTGCGCGTGGGGCAACCGGGCTGACTTCTGCTTGTCTTCACTAACACCTTCCTTTCCCCGCTGCTTTATCAGGGCATCTTGAAGGCAGTCAGTGCGTCCTCCCCAGCGATATACCATGTCACGTGGGTGCTGTACAGACCACTGCCAAGCGTTTGGTGAAGATGAGGTGCCGCCTTCCTGCCTGCAACTCTTATCGATCTGAGCCCTTTCACCTCCCAAACCACTTGACTTCTCTCTCAAACCATTCTCCTCGCTGTCTTGATCTGGCCTGTCCGTGTGCAGGTAACCGGCCGTTCAAGGGCCTTCAACATCGTCTTGAGGATAATATTTGTAAGTCAAGCCTCCTTCAGCCAGAGATCAGCTTTGCCGACACGTCAACAGACCAACTTACACACCCTGTCACGTCGCATCACGTTGTCGCCATGGCGCCCACCACTAGAAAGAGAGCCAAGACAGCCGCGACGTCTGATTCTGCCGGCGCCGACACCGGTGGAACTTCACACGTTGCCGAAGAAGGTTCTTGTCGCGATGACAAAATCGACAACACTTTCGACGACGCTTTCCCTGACGCCCAGTCCGACCATGACTCTGATCACTCTGACTATGTGGCGAACGGTCGCAAGAAGCGCAAGAGAAAGAGTGACAAAGGGCAGAAAGCAAAGCCAAAACCCTTGACCACGTTCGAAGGACCACCACCCTTGCCTGTTGGAGATCTCTCTGACAATGAATATGCTCGCAACGAAGACGTGACTGCCGCAGAGTCAGATGACGATGGTCTCTGGTCTACCTCGCGTCGCAGCAATGGCGCGGCATTGGCGGTGGAAAAGGAGAACAAAGTTGCTCCAGAACTGTGCGTGTGCCATCCGCCTCTTGATTTACCCTTCACTCAATGCCCCGCCTGCCGTCCCACGCTCGTCTAACAAATTTGAAAGGTCCATTCAGATCACTGGCAACGGTGAAGCTAAGACACTCATCAGCCATGACCTGGCAGCTCTCCTCAGCAACGCGGGAATGACGAACTTGACCTTGACTTTGCCAGCTGCATTCGCAGGTGAGAAAGCTGCTTCCAACATGGACAATCTTGCAAATACCACACCTGGTCAAAAGAAGAAGAAGCAGAAGAAGATGAAGAAGTCAGGCTTTTTCGAGACTCTCAGCCCTGAGTTGCGTCTGCGAATTTACAAACAACTCTCCAAGTTGGACAAGCCCATTGAATTTGGAAAGAGTGAGGTCTCAGCGTCAGCTCAGTTCCTGCGAACCTGCAAGCAGGCCCACGACGAAGGCAGAGAAATTCTTTATGGCGAAAATTCCTTCCACTTCACCCGTGACACTAGGACTCGAGGGAAATTTTATGACAAGGTCTGGAAAGAGATTGGCTACAAGGACATCCGACGATTCCTCCAAGGCATTGGTCCTGACAACGTAAGTCCCGATTCCTTTCTACGTCCAGCTGCACGAGCAGTGACAGAACAGAGTGCTACGGGTGAGGCTAACAGACTTATGTAGATTGCCTGCCTCAAACACATCTCATTCCAACTCACGGATGCACCGGACAATCGCACGAGATCTGTCCCTGGACAAATTACGGAGCGCAGATTTGTCGAAGACCCTCACCTTCAAGAGATCTTTCGACTCATTGCGGCTAACGCTACTCTCAAGACCCTTGCTCTCCAATTTGCCGGTCGCGCCATGGTCACCCAGTACGATCGCCGTTTTTTGAGAGCTCTCACCGAGATGAAGTGCTACAAACTCGTCATCATCAACCAGTTCTTCAGCAGCAGCCACAAATGTGCTTACAATCTCAAGGACAAGATCAAGCAAGTGATGTGGGTGAGAGACGAAAACGGGAATAGAGTCAAGCTTGAGGAAGCCAGAAAGCCAGTCAAGATGGTGTATTCCGTCGGACCAGCAGCGCCATTCATGGTCAACTGGGAAGAGGTACGCTAATCGCAGCCAGTACACCTGGTCTGTCTCTTACCTTGAGTGAGATGAGCATGTGTGCCTCAAATGAGTGTCGATTCATCAAGGTCTGCAGATGACACGAATATGAGAGAAGGACGAGAGAACTTGTCAGTCATCATGACGGGAGTTTCAGAGATGGTCGCCATGAAGTCATGACAGAGCCAATGGCTTGAAACGATGAGCTGAAGTTGAGAGTTATGGCACAAGCCTAGCAGGAGCATACTTAGGAAAGCGGGCTGAATAAAGACGGTGAGAGCAGAGCAAGGCTCATGACCAACAGCAGACATTAGCACACAGAGCTTGAGCTTAGCTCCATTCGAGTTCATCCATGGGATGACATACGAAATGCAAAGTCACGTTTGTACACGTTGGACTGTGTACATCGATCAGTGCGATGCCTTCCTTCCGTGCCGTGGGACCCCTGCTTAGGAACTGCGTGTGTCTTGCTGACTGCCTTACCTCGTCCTCATTCGGCTGGAAGTCTCACCCCATCCGCCCACGTCTTGCCTGGTCAGTAGGTGGTGTTGTATTGTAGAAGATGAACTTGTGTGGAGGCAGGTGTCAAGCAGTACTACGAACACAAAGTCCAGTCGCCTTCAACCCACTTCTCAAAGAATGAGATATGCTCACACAACCTCACCTGCTGAAGTCGCAACATATGGGCGAAGCGGAGTGTTGTCGCCGGCAAGGACAACCCGCTGCAAAGTCCGCTGGAATGCCACCAGCTCGATGATGATCTTGTAGGTGTGGTCCAAGCGGACCTCATCACCGATTACCCAAATTGTTTGCAGATTCTCTCCGAGGCATTGCGAGCCAGACGTACTCCGTACACTTTCAGTGATCAGCACTTTCGACTGTCCTTCAGGACTTCCGAGATGACAAGCTTTTCTTTGTTGGTTGGAACGCTTTCTAACATTGTCGTGACCAAGATTGCTTCCCTTCTGCTGATCCTGCCAGCTTGCTTACCATACAATGAGGAGAATGGAAGAGGGGCAAGGCTGATGAGGCTTAAACTGCTTCCCCACTCGAGCACTTGTCTGGTCACTCGTTGTGACTCATTACCCCGTAGGTCCTCAACATTCATTGGAGTGCTCCGTAGATTCTGTCATTAAATTCTGGTTATATTTTGTACAGCATAAAAACTGGGTCAAAACTGATGGTCGAGATTGGCCTTCACAGGCCCTGGTGGCACAATTGGTCAGCGCGTGAGACTTTTACTTCTTCAGAAGCAGTCAATCTCAAGGTTGAGAGTTCGAGCCTCTCCCAGGGCGTTTTTAAATGGTTTTTCTTTTGCTGCGGAACCTTTTTTTGGTTCGCTGGAGACTTTTTGAAAGCTGAGTTGTCGACTGCACTGCATGGCTGAGGCCGTTACACGAAATTTCCGGTATATCTCTTGGCGGCTACTCCTTACCACATCCTGCTACCATCTCGCGAATGATAGCCTCCAGGAAGTCACAAGCTCAGAATGCTTTCCTCGAGACTGAAGACTCCTGACGACGGGTGGGAGACGGCGCCGGAGTATCAAGTACGGTGCACATTCACCGTCGAAAGGTTTCTGCAGGTGACAGATCTATTGCTCGAGAATCCAAATCTAAACTCGACTCATCTGTTCCGAGCCGATATCCTCTACGACGACGCCCACCTCCTGAGAACAGTCTCCGAGAAAGAGACATGTTGTCACATTGGCAGCTCGGTCGACATGGAAGACGAGGCTTCCTCTCCCACAGAGCCTGTCGGTGCAGCCTCCAATGCAGCGCCCTTCGTGCCGGGCGCCATCTTGCGCAGGAAGGTGTTAAGAAGGCTCATTCCTCGGAAACCACAGGTCGATCGTCCCCTGGACCAGTGGTGTTACATTTACAGACTGGCTGACGGCCCAGAGATATCTGGCTATGTTGTGCTCTATGTCCCGGTCGTGGAAGGAGAAGCTGGAATGCCGTGGTACCATCCACCAGTCAAGGCACTGGCATACGTCTACGAAGTCAAGCACAAGGAGGGTGAGTCAGCGTTATCTGTTCACCTCTTGCCTTTCTACAAATCCTCAGATCCGTTGCCGACTCGTTTGCATCGCACCATGATTTCTTTACTCCAAACGTTCGTTAGACTTTCAAAGAGCACGACAGTGGAGCGCCGTGAGACGGGAGAGCAATGTGGCGAAGAGCGAACAGCAACAGAACTGTCTCTGGCACCTGCTGCTCTGAAAGACACTATTCTCCCCCAACATATCGTCCAGGACACCTACGCTCGCCTCAAACAACAGTATGCGCATGACCTCATTTCCCGCTGGGTCGAGAAGACCGAGCCGTCCAAGCACGTCTTTGAGGATCTCTCCATCGCCGCCTTCCTCATTGAGCTTTGGAAGCAAATGTATCCTCCGGGGACCTTTCCGGGCTTCATCGACTTCGCGTGCGGGAATGGCGTGCTCACTTACGTGCTGATCAAGGAGGGCTTCCGTGGACGGGGGTTCGATGCCCGCCGTCGCGCTACCTGGCAAGTCCTGGAGATGGAAGACTATCTGGACGTCATGGTCTGCATTCCGCAGCCATTCCTGGATCACGCGCCCGCCGAACTTACCATCGATCGGCTCCACGAGGCAGGCATGAAGATTCACAACGGGCTCTTCAACGGTGTCTTTAATGGACTTCGAAACGGGGTTTTCAAGCCCGGCACGTTCATCATCTCCAATCATGCTGACGAACTCACGCCGTGGACGCCACTGCTCGCGGCCCTCTCATGTCCGGAGTCACCCCTTCCGTTCCTCGCCATCCCATGCTGCTCTCACGCTCTGAGTGGTGCGAAGCATCGTTATTTACCGAAAGACATCGCCTCACCTTCTCCCTCACCAAGCATCAACGGTAATGAACATCAACCCGCAAATGGAGATCTGAAAGCTCTCCGAGCAGCGAAGCTGAAAGCCGCAACCCATCAGGACGACAAGTCGATGTACGCGTGCTTGACCAAGAAAGTCGTAGCTCTGGCACAGGAAGTGGGCTGTGATGTCGAGCTGACACTCATGCGGATCCCAAGTACCAGGAACATCGGCGTCGTGGGGAACAGGAAGAGGACGTTCGGCAACGTCAACGGTTTTCTCGGTCAGGCGAAGCCACAGAGCCACGAGGTCGATCTGCAGAGAGAATCAACCACCAACAACTCAGCGGTTGGGTCAGCACCTGCGGTACAAGATCAAGTCGACCAATTGCTGACCCGTGAATGTGCAATGTCGGGAGGCATAGCCGAGGCGGCAAGGACATGGATCGAACGAGCACAGAAGCTTCAGAAGGGCCCGGGAAGAGGGAAGGTCAATCTGGGTGGAAAACCAGAAGAGAACTATGGACATGGGTGAATGCGCGCTTTGCATCACTGATACCAAGGCAGATGACGACGTTGTCGTTTCGCCGGGAAAGTAAACAAACATGCGGCTTACCGCTAGCTCATAACGCCGCTGCCGCTGATAACACAAGCACACGGCCGGTTTCTAGACATGCGTCATGCTCATTGCTAGAACGTACAGCATGTCAATGATTAGACCGGGCAAGCTGAGCGAGAGAGTGGCCGAAACCGACAGAGTGACCGCTGACGAAGACTCAACGGACACGAACACCACGAAAAGGCTCGAACCAGCTGGAACATGTTTCATTCGCAGATACGTCCTCATCGTCGCAATCATCCCGTCATTACGCATGGCGCATTGTTTCATTGTTTCATTTCGCCTCGACGCCACGCAACCGGGGTGTGCAGAGTCCCGCCTAAGGACTCCGACTCCTGGACAGACTCCTGCTCGCGACATGGCTTCCCCTTCCGTCTTCCTCATCCTCCACATTCGGCAACGCCACGTTGAACAAACCCTCGGCCCACTCGGCAAAGGTGTCGGTATCCCACACCGCATCCTCGGGACCCTTTCCTTTGCGCGAGATCGGGGTGGCCGACCTACCGTTGACCTTGCCGTTTTGGCCCTTCGCCGCGGCCGAGGCCGACTGCGCGGCATAGTCATCGAAGAAGGCCTCGTAGATCTGGACGACCTGGTCCTCCACGGCGGCCACGAGCGTCTCCCGCGTGCGATGGTCGTCGAGATATTGTTCCAACTTGGCCCGCAGGATGGGGATCTCCTTCTCGATTGTGCTGCGGGTCTTGCCCACCGCTTCGGCCAGGACGGTTTCCCTGTCCGCTTTCTTACCGCCCACTTTGTCCACGCCCCGAGGCAAGTCCTTGCACATCGACCTTGCGAAGCCGGCCGTGAACTCGTTGATGACCTGCCTGAGTCGTCCGTCGAGTTCTTGCTTCGCGTCGAGCATGTTCTCCATGACCTTGGGCAGGAGCCCGCCTGAGCTGAACAGTCTCATCCACGTGGCCGGGTTGAAGAGCCCGCCTCGCTCGCGCAGTTCCCAGAACGTAGACGCCACGCCGGAGAAGTCGAAACTCACGTCCGGCGTGACGTACTCGATATCAAAGGCCACGATCTGCGATTTGAGGAGGAGCAGGTGTTTGAGCAGGAAGAGTTGACCGTCCGCGGCGGAGGATCTCGTCGAGATTTGGCTCGACGCGGATACGAGCGACAGGGTCGTTTGATGGACGACCTGGTGCGCCAGGTCGTCGAACACGGACGAGTTCACCAGTCTGTAGATGCGGGAGAGGAGACGGATCGAGCGCGAGAGCGTCGGGTAGCTGTGTCTGAGGGCCGAGCGGCGTGACGCCGACAACGTCCAGGAGAAGGGGCCTTCGTCGGCGGAGTCTTCGTCCAGATCGGTGATGGATGTCTTGGGAAGGGAGGTCAATGGGTCGCGAGAGCCTCGGCGGCCGGAGAGGGCTGCCTTGCTGGCGGAGACGGGCGGCACGGATGTCAGGCGCGGATAGTCGAGATCCTCCGGTTTGGGCTTGAACATCTCGATCTCCTCGCGGAGGATGGCGAGGGCGCGGAAGACAAGCCGGGTCTGTGCGTCTTCGAGAGCCGGCTGGATCAGGGCGGAGAAGTCGAGCTGGTTGAGGTCCGGGAGGCCGTCTTCCTCTTCGTCGTGCAGATACCGGGTTTGGAGCAACGTGACGAGCGAGCACAGCTTCGCGAGCTTGTTCTCGTGGATGATCCGTGGCCGGAGGTGGTCGTACAGTGGTTCACACAGCGACTCGAGGAAGTCGTAGAGCCCACGGTAGCCGTGGAACCATTCTGCCCACAGCTCGAACTCGTCGAGGCATATCCCGCGAATGTAGCTGATCGCCGCTCTGGCGAACGGTACCAGGTCCTTCGAACTCGGCAGTTGAGCCGTCTCGGCGAGCCGCTTATGTACGATGGGCAGGATCAACCTCCCTCGACAGGCGGCGAAACTGGCGTGCAACTCATTCATCAGACTCTGGTATTCTCCCTCGGTGCCTGGCTCAGCGTCGGCCGGCGGGTTGGCTCGTTTCTGGATTTCCAACCCGAGCTCCTTCATCTCGGCCGCTCCGACCCGGAATTTTGCATACAGGAGTGCTGACATGGTCGTGTCGTTCAGCTGCTTCGCGGCGATCCGTCCGGCGACCTCGGTCGTGGTTTCCCGCACGCCAGCCATAAAGGTATTGCGTACCAGAGTCAGTGCCCGTGTCAGGAGCAGTTTGTACCTCGATCTGTAACTCTCGGCTTCTTTATGAGCGGGATGTGTCTGCATGTAATCGATGCACTCGTCCAGCGTGACTAGCATGTCTGAGAAATCCTGGCTCCTGACAAAGTTGCCCGCCTGTGGTGCATTGAGCCGTCGAGTAATGCGTTCGAGGGGCTCATAGTACCGAAGATTGTCGGCGATGTCCTGTGCAATGGCTTCATTCTTGTGCTGTTCTTCACGAATTGAGGCGGACTGGGCTTGGAAGGATTTTGTCTGCGAGTCGATGGATCTGAACGAGGCCGAGATGGAGGACAGTTCGGACAGGGTTGCCGCGGTGGACGCGAGGAGAGTGTCTAGATGCGAGCGAGCGGCGTCGAGCTGGTCGAGATATTGTTGGTATTCATCGAGGCTGGCGTCTAGCAGTGCGTCGTCAATGTCTCCGGAGAGCTTGAACAGTGCCAGTTCAGTGTCGGCTTCCTCCAGCTGGGCCAGTAGACCATCTTTCTTTGCCGCCTCGGCTGGCTCTGTGGTCTCTGCCATGCCGTAAGCCAGCTGTGTTTCGCAAAAGCCGGCTCTCAACGTGTCGTTCTAGCAGGGTCGCCATCCGTGCATCGTGCCAGTCACTTCTGAGGAATGCCACATCGCATTGAGCGGACAAGGCTGAGCGAGTTCACGAGTCCGCCAATTAAAACACCTCCAAGTCGACAAGGCTGTCGCATGCCCTCATGACGTTCTCGATTTCCGAATACGTGCCGTGTCTCTCACTGATCACTTGGCTTCTGAGTCCAGCTATCATCGCAGAGCAAGATGCTGGGGGGGTTGTAAGAGGAGTCGACGGCCTGGAACAGACTGAAGCCATCAAGCAAGCAACCATGTCGAGGAGCCTGCCGACTTCTACCCTGCGTACTTTGGCACGCTCGCAGCGGGCTTCTCTGGGCCATGCGCAGCCGTGCAGGCGTTTCTCTAGCACCAGGCACGCCTCGCAGAAAGCTGCCGATCCACAGCCTTCCCCTCCTCGCCGAGGAGCGAAGCGCCCGGGCACCCAGCTTCTCGTCGCAGCGGCGGCCCTCGCTCTGATCTATATCAGTACCAGGTCGCCTGCCCCAGCCCAAGCAGAAGCACCGGCTCAAGATGCCCCAGAACTGCTGATCGAGAAGTCGAAGAAGAAGAAAGGAGTGTCGAAAGAAGAGAACAGGGATCTCATTAGCTCACAGCATCTACAAGTCAAGAAGAGCTGGGAGAATCCAGGTGTCTACGCTTGGGGATCGAACACAGGTCGAGTCGCCGCTCCAGAGTCGAACGAGACGTATATCAAGACGCCGCGGCGGCTGAGTTGGTTTGATGATGTCCTCTTGCGAGATCTCAAGCTTGACAGGACATTCGGGGCCGCAGTGCTGGAGAATGGCGATCTCGTGCAATGGGGCAATGCGTTTTCAGAGGACATCCGCCAGCCAACAGTCACCTTGAAAGGCAAGGATCTGACGTCGATTGCCATATCCAAAGATCGAATCATCGGTCTGAGCAAAAACGGAACCGTCTACTCCATCCCAGTCTCAAAAGCGGACCAAGAAAGTGGACACAAGCAGACCGAGGGTTCTTGGATACCGTTCTGGAGCTCGACCTCCGCAATCAGCTACAGGAAGCTAGAACCCAAGGACCTGGGGGCGCGCGAGAAGGTAACCGCTATTAGCGGTGGTCTAGAACATGTCCTCCTTCTCACATCATCTGGTCGAGTCTTCTCGGCCGCCTCTGGGACAGAGGATTTCCCCAGTCGTGGCCAACTTGGAGTCCCCGGTGTAACATGGCTCACCCGCCCCGAAGGGCGCTACGACATGTGTCACGAACTCACCACCCTGAAGGGCTTCGAAATCACCAAACTCGCCACAGGAGACCACCACTCACTCGTTCTCGACAAAGAAGGCCGGGTCTTCGCGTTTGGAGACAACTCCTCTGGCCAACTCGGCTTCGACTACAATCCCGAAGCACCCTTCGTTGATACACCCTCTCTTTTACCCACAACTCGCCTCTACCAAGGAACCAATCAGACCCCTCGTGTCACATCTATCGCCGCCGGCGGCCAAAACAGCTTTTTCACGGTGGAAGCCACCCGTGTCGTTGGCCCCGATGAGGACCAGTCTTCCATCCCCAACCTGGGCAAAGTCACTGCAGATACCTGGACGTGCGGCACCGGCATCAAAGGAACATTAGGAAACGGGAAATGGACGCATATCCAGGGAACACCAACGAAGATCCCCGCCCTTTCGGGTATGTTCGAGTACGATGAGAAGGCCCGCAAAGTCGTCCCCATCCGCATGGCCCAGATCTCCGTTGGGAGCACCCACGCCTCCGCCGTTCTAGACAACGTCACATATCTCAATGCCAGTGAGAAGTCCTCCGAGGACGATACAAATTGGGGGTCGGACGTGCTCTGGTGGGGAGGCAATGAGTTTTACCAGTTGGGTACAGGCAAGCGGAACAACAACGCGAGCCCAGTGTATATCAAGCCCTTGGACATGGCGAGTGAGGTCGAGGCGGGGAGGAAAGAGGAGCATAGACTCCATTTGACGCCGATGAAGAATGTCAACGTCAAAGGGAGGAAGGTCCGGATGGAGCAGAGAGTCGAGTGCGGGAGGAATGTGACTGCTGTATATTCGGGAGTTTGAAAGACGAGCCGAGAGGGCAATGAGCCAGTCCAGACCTCGAGTACTGTCAAAGGCAATTCATCTCAGCCATTAACCCGTGCATGTGAATGTCTGTCTATTCAGGAACCATGCGAACGTCGTAATGTCCCTGGTCCCCAACCCACCGTAGACACCACCAATGCTGGTACAGGCCGTATTCATGTTCTTTGCAGGAAAGAGCTATGCCACGATCTCTGTCATCAACGCCTGCCAGGCTCTGCCCTCGACCCTCATGCTGTACTTCCCTTGTCATGTCGTCGCCATACTGGAACCAGTCGATCGATAACCCGGTACGCCTAACGCCTTGCTGTCTGTTCGAAACCATGCCGCTCAAACTAGGACCTGGCCGACAAAAAAACCAGGCCATCCTGGAATCGCGCAGCGGCACTGCCGCATGCGTCGCTCTCCGCTCTAGTGGACCATGACTTCCGGCTTGGACTCTCCACCTTTCTTCTCGCCGTTCGCCTCAGCAGTCGCGGTGGCAGTGCCAGTAGAAGCAGTAGGCTTCTCGTCACCGTCCGCCATCTCAGTGTCCTCTCCCTCGGCAGCTTCTTCGTCTTCACCTTCCTCATCATCGTCATCTTCATCACTGCTTTCTTGCTCGAGATCCTCACTACCGGCCTCGCTGACTTCGTCTTCGTCCTTGACTTTGTTACCATCTGTCATTTCCTTGTCTTCAGCGTCGTTGGTGCCCTTGACCATCTTGGCTTCGGTCTCTTCGAGTTCTTTCTCGAGTGCGGCTTGCATCTCGGCTTCCTCTGCTCCGTACGCTGCGCCATCGTCGTCAAGGGTGTCCGCTTCCGGTTGATCAGGAGGATATTCGGCTGGTGCTGATTCTTCCGAGTCCCTATAACACGTCGAGTGCATCACGTTAGCCATTGAGCATTGTGCCGGTCAGCTGAAAGCGATAGATGAACGTACCACTTGATGGCGAACCTGGTGACTCGGGGCTTCTCAGCGAGTACGTTGCGTCGAATCTTCTCAATGACGGGCTTGGCAGGCGGGTCGGCATTCAAGATCTCATCGTCGTACTCATTGTTGACGTAGTATCCGACGCGGACGAATTCTCTTCCATCGTAGGAGCAGGTCAGAAGGATGACGGTCACGCCGAGGATTTCAGACGAAGGCAGGCGCTGAGTGTTGGGAGGATCGGCTTCAAAGATGAACTTGTTGACACCAATGGGGATAGGCCCGACAAGCAGCGAGTCGAGCTCTTGGTCGTGTTCTGCAGACGTGGCCGAGCCGACGTAGGTGAGTTTCCATTCTAGATCTGTGCGGTTGGCTGGTCAGCCGATCTGCGGTAGATGGGGGAAGTCGATGCGCGTTTCACGTGTGCGCGCATTGGAGTGGCAGAAACAGCCTCACCTTCTCGCAACTGCTCCAGGCATTCGAAGGTGATCTCAAACTTGTACGGCGCGTTGAACGGCGCAGGGTTGTTCAGCACCTTGACGCCGAGCAGCGAGACTACCGACATGGTTGCGGCTCACGCGACGGTGACTGTAGTCCCTATACGACAGTGACAATGTGACAAAGTGGCAATAGAGGTGTGTGAGTGTAGAAGATTGATCGTGATAAGGAGTCTGGTTGTCGACAGGCTGGGGTGAGGAATCTCTATGGCGCGAAAAGTCGCGTCTTAATGACTACCGAATTTGTCTATACATATCGCTGCTTTTGTATGACGCCACTGCAAGGCTTGTGGTCTTTGTTGCCGCTTTAAGGGCCCTGTGTATAGGTAGAGGGAGCAGCGTCCGAACCTGTATTGCATGGGTCCGAACGAAATAGCAGACATGGCATTGCCATATCTGTCCGTTGTTGTATGGAAGGGTTAGCACAATTTCAGCATTGCCCCTGCTGGCCAGACACAATAGGAGCATCACCTATATCTCTATGAGAATCCCCTACCTGACTTCTGTGGCCAGGTTCAGTCTATGGCGAGGGTCCTGTCCTCGGTCGAGGATTTAAGACTGCAGCTCGCATGTCGCGGGTGGTATTCAGCAAGTTAACAAGCTCTCACAATGATACGTGTGCGTTGAGAACTGGATTAATTAAATATGAGACAGCCAGAGTAATCACTTGACTTAAGGCTTAGAGAGGAGTAGACCTCAATCATAGCCGTTCCATCATTCCGACAAGATGATGTTTTGTTTGTTCAAAAGATCTTGAGATCCATCCTCATGACTTTTACGCTGCGAGACAGACTCTCCTGTGTCTGCTTCCTGTGCAACCGGGTTCCGTGAAAATCCACAGATGAGTCTGAATGTCAGTTAAATTTGAGGATGCCGCAAGTGATGGCTGAGTGGGGAGTTTGATGAAGAAACGGAACCATGGGCAGGTTTCCCGAGGTTGCCGCGGCCGCTGCTATGACTGAATCTCGAACAATGAATTCACTCGATCTTCCTCTGCACGCGAGCAATTTCACAACTTCGTCACTGCCCTCGCGCGGCCATCAAACCGAATACAGGATTCTCTTCTCACTTCGCAACATGTCACTCTCCTCTGCTTGACTTCCCAGATTTCTAGGCTATGGTATCCTTTCGTGAGAAGACAACAAAGGTTCTGTCGCAACATTAGTCTGTCCGCATCAACAGGTCAGAAAAGCCATCACCACTGACACCTTCAGAGCTCTCCTTCTCGTCTTCCATCCTCGACTTCTCCGAGGTGCACAGGCCAGCCGCCGCCAGTATGGCCACTCCAGATCGGGAGGCGCTTTCACCTGAGAATGCTCCGCAGTTATCATATCTCAACAACGGAAGTGCCGCTCGCAACGATCAGGCTAGCGCATCGCCCTCGCAGACATTCGGGACCTCCGAGCAGAGTCCGGTCAATACACAGAAAGATCCCATACTATCGCCAATACAGTCCGACCTCCATCCACCTGCTGCGCCAGTCGGTAACTTTGTCGGCCAAACACCCATGGCCCAGTCCGTCCCTGCGCAACCCAAGCCTCGCATTGTCGGCGGGTTTGAAGTTGATGATGACCCTGAGGATGAGGAAGGCGCGCAAGACGAGAAGGATGATGCTGATGTCTATGACCCCTCTGTGGGCATGGACTTCGATGCCCCAACACCTGCTGATGACTCTGCAAACCAAATCTCCACCTCGCTTGATAGAAGTTCCCAGTCACCAGAAAAAGAAAATGGAATCACTCCTGCTCCTGTCCAGGCCACTGGTAGTCCTGCTGACGCTGACCTTTCTTCTTCCACTCCTGCCCCAGGTGCCAGTACTGAACTGCATGCTCCGCGCGCAGCAACTGCGACACCTTCTCACACTGTCCCTGATCCTCCAGCTCAGCTTGCTCCACCCCATCCTCATGTGAACGGCCTTGTTGCTCCAGGCTTGCCCAAGTCTCGACTTGCTCATGATGTGGTTGGAATCCTGGAAGATCGCATCAAAGATGACCCTCGTGGTGATATTGATGCCTATCTTGAACTAATCGACGAATTCAAGATTCGAAACAAACAAGAAGACGCCCGCCGAGTGTACGAGGAGTACTTGAAAGTCTTTCCCTTTGCTGTACGTGTCAACTCGCCTGCATTGTGCCGAACCGTGACTGACAGTTAGCAGGCTGATCAATGGTGCGCCTATGTGAAGTTTGAGGAGGAGCACGATCGCATGCGCCCTATGGAGACTCTCTTCAATCGATCTCTTCTGGAAGTCCTTGATGTTCCTCTCTGGTCCCTGTACATCAATTACATCCGCCGACGAAATAGCATGCAGACGGGTGATGTAGCCAGATCGTATGGCATCATCAACGACTCGTTTTCTTTCGCTCTCAAGACCATCGGGATGGACAAAGAGTCGGGCCCATTATGGCAGGACTATATCAACTTCCTGAAGACCGGGCCAGGGACTGTCGGTGGTACTGGTTGGCAAGATGCAGCAAAGGTCGATACTCTTCGCGCAGCCTATCAAAAGGCAATTGCTGTCCCCACGGCAGCAACAACAGCTCTCTGGAAAGAGTATGATGCATTTGAGACAGGGCTGAGCAAGATAAACGTATGCATACTGGTCTGTCATGCTTATGAATCTGCCTTTAACATCTTCACAGGGTCGAAAATACCTCCAGGAGAAATCCCCTGTCTACATGACTGCGAGGACTGCATACACGCAACTGCAGAACTTGACGAGGGACCTCAAGCGAACCTCAAAACCACGTCTGCCACCAGCAGCCGGCTTTGAAGGTCATGCCGAGTATATGCAGCAGGTCGGCCTGTGGAAGCAGTGGATTGAATGGGAGAAAGAAGACAACCTCGTCCTCAAGGATGAAGATCTTTCTCTGTACCGGAGTCGCATTCTCTTCACATATAAGCAAGCCCTCATGGCACTACAATTTTGGCCAGAAATGTGGTACGATGCGGTTGATTTCTGTTTGACCAACGGCCTTGAAACCGATGGGATGAAACTTCTCAACCACGGCATTGCGGCCAACCCTGAATCGCCTCTTCTAGCTTTCAAACTTGCAGACCGTATTGAGGCGTCGACTCAAAACGATGAAAGCGCTGACCCCGGCGCCAAAGAGCGGATGAAGAAGATTCGCGAACCGTACGACAGATTACTCGATGCGATCTACGAATTGATCAAAAAGGTCTCCGCACGCGAAAAACAAGATGTGCAGAGGATAGAGCTTGCTGCCGCTAGCAACGCAGAAGGAGATGGCAATGGCGACGACGATATCAACGCCTCTAACGTCGCAGCCAAGAAAGCCGCCCTCGACAATCAGATCGCGGTGATCAAGAAGGGGGCTCAAGCACAGACGGACGTTCTCAGCCGGATGGTTTCACATGCGTGGCTTGCATTGATGCGCTCGACGCGACGAGTCCAAGGCAAAGGACCTCCAGGCGAAAAAGGACCGCAAGGGTTTCGGCTTATCTTTACTGAAGCACGCAAACGAGGTAAACTCACAAGCGACTTCTATGTGGAATCGGCACGCATCGAATGGCAATGTTACCGAGATCCTGCTGGCACAAAGATACTTGAGCGCGGCATGAAGCTGTTTCCCGAGGACGACTACCTGCCGCTTCAGTATATTCAACATCTCTTCGATATTCAAGACGTTACGAATGCACGAGCAGTCTTCGAGACGACTGTCAAACGACTCCTCGGCCACGAAGATCCTGAACAAACTGCCAAAGCTAAACCGCTCTTTGCGTTCATGCACAATTATGAATCCAAGTACGGTGAATTGGCCCAGGTTCAGGCCCTCGAAGAGAGGATGAGGAAGCATTTCCCAGAAGATCCGACGCTCAAGCTCTTCTCCAGTCGATACAGCACTCCCTTGTTCGACACCATCCATGTCCATCCCATCATTTCTCCCCAACAGGTCCGGCCCCTGCAGTCGCACGTCCTCCCGTCCGTGGAAACGTCGACGGAAATGGTGAATTCTCCCATCCAGAAAGTCATTGACGCGATTACAACACATTCTCCTAAGCGACCATTCCCCGACGACTTGGATGATAGCGGCGGGCCACGCAAGATGGCGCGTGGCGAATCTCCGCTGAAGGGAGCAGCCGGTCGCCGCATGAATCAGCAACAGCAGCAACGCCAGGTAAACGCGCCTGCTACGCTACCTTCGTTCCCTCCAGTTCCTCAGCCTTTGCCACCGGGGATCGCCTATATCCTGAGCATCCTGCCAAAGGCTTCGACCTACGTCGAAACTCGATTTGACGCGGTCAAGATGATGGAGTTGATCCGCGACATTAAGCTACCTGCGCCATCCGCTATTTCGAGCCAAACCCTCCAACCGCCGCCCTCACAGCCGCAACCTGGCTGGCCGCCGTATCCACCCATGCCGCCGCAGGGCTTCTCGCCGCCACCAAACGTTACACAAGGTCAATACGGAGCGGGTAAGTGCATCTGAGACTCTGTGTGCACGAGCTATGTGACTGACTTGATCCCAGCACCCTTTCGATACGCATAAGAACAGTGTGCGATGTAGCATTAGCATATTTACCAAGCATGTCACAGGCGTTGGAAGGCATTGGGAGGCATCCTGATGCTCGATATCATTGGTGGCAGTTGTTCAACTTTCAACTTTCAATATTCATGCACGACGTGTCGGCAGCATCCGGTATTCATGGCATGCTACGTTCTCATAAGATGGCCAGTTGGGAACTCATCCTGCACGAGTGGGATCAAGCCTCATTCAGGGTCGTCGAGCCTGCAGAAACTCAGCGAGTCTTCACTCAGGCAATCATATCATTTGTGTTGATCTTCGCTTGCCTCTTCTGCCACTCAGTCCTCTTATGGTTGACCTCTCTTGAACCTTTTGGGTATCCACTCAAGGTACTTCTTAGCACAGCTGCACCTCCGTACACGCTGTCGAAGTGTAGTCCCACAAAGCCCAAAAGCCTGCTCTTCTCGGTGTTCGCTTGCTCCTTGGCCATCAAGTAGTCTGGCTGCACTGTTTGCAGAAAGGGAGAAGCGTTTGACAGGCTGGTGCGGTATTCTGGGCTTGCTTGGTCTCTTTGGCATGAGCCGTGCTTTTGGAGGTCTGGCGCTTGGAACTGGCTCTGCTGGGTCTTTCTTTGGGGGGATGAGCCATGCCCTTGGAGGCGCCGGCCTTCAGAAGCCAGCTCTGCAGGATGTCGGTGATTCGTCGCCTGCAAGGTCTAGTGTAAATGTAGCTTAGCGCAACCATGACGCTAGCTGTCTGTCAATGTGGTTCTCAGCCTGACTTCAGACTCAACCTCACCGCAGCGCTCAGACGAGCCTGACAATGAACTCAACCTCATAATAGTCGACAGAACGTGCGTCGCGGCGACGACGGCAACAGTGAATCCATCGTCAACGACATCATCGTCGTCACTGGCGCCGACCCTGGGCCCATATTGCCAAGGCCTCGAGCATGCACGTCGCCGTCGCTCGACTACAAATATCCCCTTCCTCTCTCAACCTTCTGACCTTCTGACCTTCTTCTCTCTTCCCATCATCTATCATCTCTTCCTTCTCTTGATTGACCTGGCGTCAATCATTGCTTCTTGAACCTGATCAGTTCAGACACGTCCTTGCAACTCAAGACCCGTCGCTGTGACACCTCTGCGACTCGCTCCTCCATGAGACAGCTTCAACTTCGCCAACCTCAACTTCCAGCTTAGCTGGGATCAACAACCTCTCAATCTTCCAGGTAAGCAATCGAGAGCTCTTGGTGTCTCCTCTGGCACCTGTTCAGGTCCTCTTCATTTGACTCTGAAACCAAGTTTCAGTGTCGTATTTGGTCTTGCCCTCGCGCCGCGAACGCCTCGTGCCTGCCTTTCTTTTGTGTCCCACTTCACAACAAAGCGACAAACACGCTCTGAATCTTTCCTCAAACACACTTGAGTAGGAGATATCTTGATCACCTCATCTCTTACATCCTTCTCATCCCTTTGCCAACGTCTCATCTCTTCAGCATCGTACAACCTCACACCTTCCTTACCATTTCCATCTTCGATCTGCCGTCTGAGCTTGATTTCCTCGATCGAGCACCAAGCAATCAAGTTGGATCCTTTCCCTCCTTCTCAAGATCCCACACTAACGCCCTTCTCCCCAGACTTCCAATCACTCTGGCAAGATGTCTAACTCCGCTCGCAAGCGCGGTGCTGGCCGTGCGACTAGAGGTCAACAGCCAGCAGAGACCGCTTCTCGTCGTGGAGATCGTCAACAGGCCGGTGGCTTTGATGGCCCTGCTTCTCGAGGCAGTGGTTCGCAGTCCGGACCTGGCACTGCCGGTCGTGGTGCTGGTTCCACAGCTCCCTCAGCTGAGTCTGCTACCGGTAGTCCCGGTGCTCCAGCTGGAGGCTTCGAAGCACAAGCGCCAACCAGCAGTAGCCATCGCAGTAGTCAGTCTGGTGGCCCTGAACAAACTCAACCTCAAGCAGCAGCTCCTCTAGGAGACCCAGCTCGCGATCGTCCGCCACGATTCACCGATCAGATGCGGAATGTCGACTTGCCTCCTTCATTCTACAACATTGATCAACTGGTGAGTCATTCTCCTTCAATTCTCTGCTGCACCATTCGTGTCTGTCACCCCGGTTTACAATGAGGCTTCATTATCTTGCCATGGTCATCGCCTCTGGTGTCACTATGACTCTTGAGGCCACCACCCTTCCCGCTCAGACCTCCCATCCGGTGTCACGCTTTCTTCCACTGTCACCCCTTCTTCCACATCTGCAGTCGTCCACAATGCTTTCACGTTGAAGCTCATCGAATCCTGCCTTCACATCTCTCTCCTTCCATACAACTCAGGCATCTGCTGCCCTGCACTGTCAGCCGAGTTGTCTCAGTGGCACAGTCATCCCTTTCCCTCTACCCTATCTTCACCAAAGCACAATGGCTGCCTTTGCTCGGCTTCCGGCCTACTTATACCCCTATCTCCCCCCATACTTTGTGGCTTTGTTCCCAGAGATCTCGCACCAAATCATTCAACACAATCACAAGTTGCCAACATGTCTCGTCCGACCTCTGGCGGTGGTTCTCCATCTGCCTCTGTCACAACATCCCCGACTCAAGCAAGATCAGCGAACCAGTCTCCTAGAGCAAATCCCGCTGTCATTTACATTCCATATGTCCGCAATATTCGTGGCCCAGGCACTGACGAATATCAACAACAGTACACGCTGCCAACACAGTTCACGAAGCGTCCCGGCTTCAATACCACTGGCCAAGCAGCTGCGATGAATGTCAATGCATTCCAGGTCACCGGATACCCCACAATCAAGATCCACCAATACGATGTTGTCATTGGCACCGGCGCCGAGAAGCGAATTGTCAATCGCAAGGTCTGGGACTCCAAGGCCCGCAAGGAGAAGACTGGTCCTCAGATGATCTGGGATGGCAATCGTCTCGCTTGGTCGCTCAAAGACCACGGCGAGATTCGCACTACGGTCGATCTTGACGCCGAAGACGGCCGTCCTTCTCGAGATGGTCGCAATTCTTTCCGTCTGCATATCAAGAAGACCCGTGAGATCAACCCGAGTATCATCCAGAGCTTCCTCGATCGCAAGATCCAGATGTCCAAGGAAGTTGCCGAGGCCATCATTTTCATGGACCATCTGCTCCGCGAGGGCCCTTCCCAGAATCCGCAGTTCATTGCAATCAAGCGTTCTCTTTTCAAGAGACAAGGTCAGCGCCAAGATCTTGGAGGCAGCATTGAGGCCTGGCGCGGCATCTACCAGTCGATGCGCCTTGCTGAAGGTCAGAAGCTCATCATCAACCTCGATGTCGCGAATACCTGTTTCTGGCGTCCCACTTCCCTGACGTCTGCTCTGGTTACGAAGTGGCGCGAATTCACCGACGTCAATTCGATCGCGAATCAGATGCGCCCGACACAGAACAACGGTGCCCGTGAAGCCAACAATTTGCAGAAGACCGTCCAGCGTGCCTTCAAGGGCGTCGAGGTCAAGGCCGTCTACAAAGGCAATCCACTCCCCAACAAAGTGTGGAAGATTGTTCGATTCTCCACCAACAACGCCAATCAGGAGATGATCGATTGGAAGGATCCGAACACCAAGCAGCCCACCGGCGAGACAATTTCTGTTGCTCAATATTTCCGCCGCAAATACAACATTACCCTTCAGTATCCTAACCTTCCCCTGGTAGAGATGAGCAAGAAAAATGTCCTCTACCCTATGGAATTCCTGCAGATCATGGAAGGCCAACGCTATGCTTCGAAGCTGGATGAATGGCAGACGAGCACTATGATCAAGTTTGCTGTGTCTCGACCTCGCGCTCGACTTGATGCCATCAACGAAGGAAAGGGTTGGTTGAACTGGGAAGGCGACAACTATTTGAAAGGCTATGGTCTTCGGATTAACCCACAACAGATCCGAACCCAGGCCCGAGTTCTACCAGCTCCAGGCATCAAGTTTGGTCAGAACCGCGTCGAACAACCTGGTACTCGTGGTCGCTGGGACCTGAAGGGCAAGCTATTCCTCACCGGCAATCCCCAGGAACTTGTCTCTTGGGGTATTGGTGTCTTCCCCGGCAAAATCCGCGTTGACAAAGCCCAGATCGACCAGTTCGCGCTCAACTTCGCTCGAGCTTACCGCGCCCACGGTGGCCAAGTCGCCAACGCACCTCCTCACACCATGATGCTCCCCAATGACACAGGTGCTGCGGTGGCCAACTTGCACCAGGAGACGGGTAACAAATTCAAGCGACGCCCTCAGCTTCTTGTCTTCCTTGTTCAGGATAAGAACGCCTTCAATTACCTCCGCATCAAGAAGTCTTGCGATTGTCGATTCGGTGTGGTATCTCAGGTCATGCAGATCGAGCAAGTGCAGAAAGGAAATCCGCAATATTACTCCAATGTATTAATGAAGATCAACGCCAAGTTAGGCGGTACCACGTCTCAGGTCGTGCCTAACTCCGCGAGCGGTTTCAAGGCCTTCACTGCGCCAACCATGATCATCGGCGCCGATGTGTCTCATGCTTCTCCTGGCAGTCAACAGGCGTCTATGGCGGCCATCACCGTCTCCTTCGATCGATTTGCCGGCCGCTATGTTGCTGCGTGCCAAACCAACGGTTATCGCGTCGAGATGATTTCAGAGGCTAATTGGATCAACATGTTCAAGCCTCTTGCCCGCCAATGGTTGATCAGTGTCGGTGGCAACCGTCCGCCTCAACACATCTACTACATTCGAGACGGCGTTTCCGAAGGTCAGTTCGAGCACGTCATCCGACAGGAAGTGCCACACATCAAGTCAGTTCTCAAAGACGTCCATGAGGATTTCAACGGCAAGATTACTGTCATCGTCGCGTCCAAGCGCCACCATGTCCGAGCTTTCCCTGACAAAGCTGGCGCCGACAAGAATGGCAATCCTCTCCCCGGTACATTGATTGAGAGAGATGTGACCACACCCAACGAGTTTGACTTCTATCTCTACTCGCATATCGCCTTGCAAGGCACTTCTCGACCAGTGCACTACTCTGTCCTTCACGATGAGTTGAACCACAAACCGGAGCAGCTTCAGAACATGATCTACGAGCATTGCTACCAGTACATGCGCTCGACAACCTCGGTGTCCTTGCATCCTGCTGTGTACTACGCCCATCTCGCATCCAACCGTGCAAAGGCTCACGAAGACCTACCTGCATCGGCTGGGCCTCAAGGTGGTGCTGGTTACAAGCAACAAGCTCCCAGCCGCAGCTCTGAGCCCTCCGAGTCTGAAGTCAGACCACTGATGCCTCTCTTCAACATCAACGGCATTGCCTTTGCCATGTGGTACATCTAAGTCAGTCCCGGCAACATCGACACAGTCTTCTGCACACCGATGCAGCGATTAGTGCACGATCAGCAGGCAATTTGTTCAGATACACCACATCAGTGATACCAGACCGACTGTGGCTGCGATTGCGCTGGCCTTCGACGGCTGGCAACTGCAGTCTACCATGCAACTCGTGCTTCAGAGCTTTTTCACGGCAGTTGAAGTCTCTGCTTCGAAACCAAAAGACGAAGCCCTATTAAGCGGGCCAACATCTCCTTACTTTTTCAGTATTGTTTCCTTTTTTTCCTTGGAAAAGTGGCGGAAAATCCAGAATGGCCAGGAGATCTCACTTCAGTTCATTCCATTTTCGATTCAACGACAGTCTCACCAGACACTTCTCATCCATGCCTCTTCCTCGAGGGTGCGCTTGAGTCGGTCTTCGACTGCCCGCCATCCTGCAGCAATGAGCCTATCTCGACAGCTAGCAGATGGCAGCCTCTCCTTTACTTTAGCTTGCAATAGGAAATGACATGCATTCAATGAAGTTTTTTCGTGTAGATTTGCTTTTGCTAAGTTTGTCTATATTTTTGGTTGTGCTGATCCGTCGTCTCAAAATGTGCCTCGTAGTCGTGTGCGATTCAATCCCGAAATGAAGTTCAAATATCTCCACAACGACCCGTCGACAGAGTTTGCCGCGGTGTGTCTGAGATTGACGGGACAGACAGCCATACTCGAGAAGCTTCAAGGCAACGGAAGCGCCCGCCCAGCAAACCCAGCGCGGTTCCTAGGCAGGACCAATCTGCAACCTAAATACGGAGTACTATGCACCTCGGACCCTGCACCGCACCCTATGAGCAGAGACAACGACGTTCCCGGACTTGATGTCGTCGAAAACAAAAAGGTAAAAGGTAAAGGAGAAAGGCGGAAGGCGGAAGGCGGAAGGCGGAAGGCGGAAAGTGCCCCTGAAGCTGAAGAGAATAAATAGCCGGAGGTGCCTCGACTCGACTCCAATGCTGTACCGTAAGTGAGTATATTTGAATGAATGGGTGAGTGAGTAAGTTGAGTGAGTCTATGATTGAATGAGTGAATGAATGAATGAGCGAGTTGGGCGAGTTGAGTCCTCGAAGAGCGTCGTCCTGTTTTCTGTACCCAGTATTGATTCATTCAGGACACGGCATGTTCATGTTCATGTTCATACCCATGCTCATGCCCATGCGCGTGCGCGTGCGCGCGAGGCCGATACTGTACCTGTACTGTAGTTACTGTACGTGTACTGTTCCGTCAAGGGTTCTGTAGGTTCTGTAGACTGAACGGAGTAGGGGGGGGGCGGAGTACTATGTACTATACTCCGTATAATATACGAAGAATGTACTCCGTACGGATGATGTACCACGAGCGTCGATTGAGGTCTCTTGTCGTTGCCTTTTGTCGGCTTCCGTCGCGTTGCGCTCAGTGGCGCTTGAGGAGGGAGGGCGAGGGCGAGGGCAAGGGACTTTTTGAATTAGTGGTCTTAAGTGTCTGTCTCTCTCTCTCTCTCTCTCCGTCTCTAATTACGGGTCTGTACGTCCGTGGCATTCTGGTCACAGCAGTGTAGAATTTCTTGATGTGAGATGTATGATGTGCGATGTCGAAACGATTACACGGTACAAGTAAGGGTATGACTACCTATTCGTGGAAGAGACTCGAACTCTTAAAAGCATAATACTATTGAGTTTACAGCTCAACCCTTCTTACCAATAAAGGAACTCTCCTAGGTTTGAGGATCGATGGATAGGTGGATGGGGAATAGAGCGAGTAAGGCAGCGCAGGGCAGAACAGGGCAGAGTAGGGCAGAACAGGGCATGGCAGGCAAAGCCAAAGAAAAACAAAATCAAGAGAATGGGAGGGGGAAAGAAAGCGAGGGAACCAAGGACCATATATTTACGTGGATAGGGAGATGGACACTGGAGGGACGTGCCCGGCCAAGCCAACAGCAGCTTCAGCTGCCCTGATTGAGGCTTGCTGATATTCGGAAGAGGTACCTAGGCCTACGTTCGCCGGGGCCATTGGAAGATGGGACGGGACTGGAGGAAGGAGTGAAGGCAGAGAGAGAGGGAGTGCGAGCAGAAGCACGATCAAGTCCGGATATTGAAATATGGAGTGTTATAGGCGCAGGTATAGGCTTAGGTGTAGGCTTAGGTACAGGCTTAGGTACAGGCTCAGGCTCAGGTTCAGGCTCAGCAAGAGCAAGGGCAAGAGCAAGAGCAAGAGCAGGAGTAATACCGACACCAACACCACACCAACACCACACCGGTACCAGACCAAGATCAAGACCCTACCCAAGAGTGAAACAGCATCGTCTTAACGCGTGCATCGGTGTGGTCTGCACCCAGGAATATCCGAGACAGATGGTCATATGCTCCATCTTGCGGAGAGCATGAGAAGATTGAGAACTTGCCGGCAAGGAAGAGAAGAGGCAACACCAGGAGAGATGAATGCCTGGAAGTCAGTCACAGACGGCCAGGTAAGTCGACATAGGAGGCAATAAATTATAGGCAGAGGCGTCCGGGGAAACACTGATGTACCCTTCACAACCTTCACGAGATACTTGGGCCAAGACGATCTTTGGATACCCTCTCCCTAGCAATATCCACGGACACAAACGACGACAAGAAACGCAAATCCAGACTTGTCCTGATGGCGTGGCATTTGGAATGTACTGTGTTAAGGATAATCTGACTTCTCGGTCCATCTGATCAATTCCGATCCACAACAACATTGGGCGCACTTTGCAATGGGTCCTGCCTGTCTGCACCACAGGATTCCACGTTTGGGATGGACCTCAGACACTCTTCCAAGAGAAGCACAAGGACGACCATCGGTTCCTGCATCGCGTCCTTCGAATCACTGTCCTGTGTACAGATAGCCCCGGCGCATTCGTTCCTAGAGGAATCCAAGAGATAGCCCAATTGCTGTTGCCAAAGACAATAGTGCAACAGTTGGAGCGTAGAGTCTCCGACCACGGGAAGCTTTAGGTCCAGCAACAGCGACGTCTCGAACAACAAGTCGAGCCAGTGGGAAGAATAAACAAGCAAACTGGACAAGGAACCAGAAAGTTGCCTCGATCGTGTCCATGAGTTCGCGGCGCCGTACCAGGATACTTATGCGCACCACACATGCAACAGATGCGAGAACGAGCAACAGCCACCCAATGAATATGAGCAAGGCCCGCCAGCGCTTTCTTCGAGGGACATCTTTTCGTCGCTGTATCGTATCTTCCATGTGGTGGCCGTGAGCCGAAAGATCGCGCATCTCGACGTGGGGCGTCCCGATGGCGCCGTCGACTTGCGAGTCGTGTGCTGGTGGAAACGGTCTGGCCTATACAAACAATTAGCAGAGTCCCAAAAGACAGAGTGATCTTCTCCTTGTACCAAGCTGTACTCCGGGAGCGGGCGTGTCAATTCTTCCATTCCCAGCTCCAAATCGACGACGGAGTTGTAATGCGGAACACTGTCTGAGTGGGAGGCCTTGTCGTCACTCCCCTCGAAGATAGGTGATGGAAATCTTGAAAGAGGAGCCATTTTAGGTGATGCTTGAAGGTAGGTCAACAGGTGGCAGATGGACCGGCACGGAGGTAGACTTGGCTCTGCTGACCACGTTGACACTGCTGATAAGGTGTAGCAATGAGCGACTGAGACGGTACGAATGTGGTACAACGAGATGTTGTTGCACAGATTGACCCCTGCGGAGTAGGATGAAAGGATCCATGTTCTTCATCAACCGCCGGATGGCATCCAGCAAGACTGCTCCTCCAAACAGAACGGATACCCACGGCGCGAAGGCAGCTGCTGTGATCAAGCAAGCCAACAGAGAAGGAGCATCCATTCTGGACCACAGTAGCCAAGGGCTTAAGGCACTGCAAGATGCAAAATCCAAGCCCGCGAACGGCTCAAAGCGAGACGAATCTAAAATCGCCGTCGCGCCTAGCTAAAACAACAAAAGCCGCCTATATTTGTATCTCCGCGAACACTCTGATGGTACAGGACGTAAGGTCGTGACTTCGTGAGCACATAAAGACTTGGGTAAGGCTTGCGGGCGCACGAAAAGCTCCTCGTCCTTCAGTTAGTATGATAGTCAATCACGCCGAGACTCCGGCGCATGTCGGCCAGTCGATCCGACGCTTGTGGTTGAGTAGGAGGCTGCGAGGCGTCGGTTCGCGCGTCCCCTTCAGGATCTTGGATCCTGGCTTTCTTTCGACCCCCCGAGGCGAAGGCGAAGTCCTTGAAAGCCGGCAATTTGGAGATCTTCTTGCCCGCTTTCCCGATTGCTTCCTTCTCATTCGGCTGCGAGTCGGCGACCGAATCCTGCCTCGGACGGCCCATCGGGCTATGGCTTGGACTGTGGTCGAGATTCTGCATTGTCTGGAATCGAAGGGGGCTGGCGTTCAGCGCGTCCGTGAACTCCATGTGATGGTCGTCGCCGTACTTGGGGTCGTGGAGGTCGTCGACAAGAGCGAAGGTTTGCCTCCTCATTTCTTCCTTTCTCACGCGCTTCACGTTGAGGCGTTTGAGTTCGGTCTTGAAATCGTCGAGCATGATTGTGTCTGTGAGACACTTGAAAACCAGACTGATTTTCCACCACGGATTGATGCTAAGCTCCGGTCAGTCATGGGGCGGGATCGAGCGTCAGAGAATAGAATACAACATACCCATCAGTACTACCGATAAAGTTATGGATACTTGCGGCAATGTCCACGGCGGTGAAGATCAAGGCCAAACAAATGGCGATCAAGAGGATGGCGAACCGCGGTGAGCGTCTGATCAGCTCGAAGACGCCAGTGCCGTAGACCGAGTTGATCACATGAAACAGTGTCAGGCAGGTGAACACCCACCACGGGTCCCTCATCAGGGGTTCATACGGCCGGACCCTGACATAGTAGTTGTTGATGTTGTTGAAGAAGCGGAAATTGTTGGCGATCTGCCAGCAGATGAACGGCACCGTCAGGGCCAACGTCCCCAAGTAGATTCTGCGCACCCATTTGCCGGTGTCAGGCTTGAACATGCTTCTCGAGTCCATGAAGAAGGGCTTGATCTTCATCCACGCCACGACGTTGTGAATGATCCACGAGAAATACAGGAACATGGCCGTCGACGACAGGTACCAGCCGTAGCCCTCGAAGCCGAAGAAGCAGAACGTTCCTACCAAGCAGTCAGCATGTCACCCTACCGTCCAGTGCACATGTCTCGACGGGCACTGCTGGTCCAGGTTCGGCGACGCTCACCGTGTGACAGTGCTGCGAGTTGCTGGAGGAAAATGGATGTGTCAGCCTCACTTGTGATATGTACTGGTGCCAGAACGCCGTACGTGAGGATGACCCGCACGGGCATTCCATCACTCCCGCCCGCGCATTTCGACTTACCTCGACCAGGATCAACTTGTGTAAAAGGACTTTCCTCCTCATGTTCGCAATGGTGATGCAAGCCATGATGACGAGTGCGCCGACCATGAACCCCTCGGACCAGCCTTCCAGGATGAAATCCTCGTCCGAGGCAAGCATGCGCCAGTTGCCATCGCCGACGGTGTCGTTTCGCCGCTGCAGGTCGAATCTGGGAGCCATACCGACGCTTTGGCTACATGCGCAATCCCGTCATCTTGTCGAGACGCTCAAATGAATCTTAAGCCGCCCAAGGAGGAGATCGAGCTCGACCGACGGCGACACTTGCAGGTGGCGGTAGGTGCCTATGCTGGGGAGGGAGAGAAGGAGAGAAGGGAGTGGTGGCCTGTCCCACGTCGTTTCCGCCTCGTTGTTCAATTGGGCTGGTCAAGCACCAGTCTCGTGGAACCTGGACTTCGAACGTGGCCGGTGGCTAGCAAGAGCTCCAATACAGTGTGAGAGAATATTTTTGTCCGCAGCGACAGCGAGCAGCGACGAAGCAGGGAAGGACGACGACAGCTAGGGCAGGAAGTGCGGCCCAGAACGACGAGGACAAGCACCGAGGACGAAGTGCTGTGTGCATAGTTGACGCACCACAGCGAGTCAGCTGCGCTGAAGAGCCGTCGCTAGCGGATGCGCTTGGAAAACTACTGGGGAATCAGAGCTGATGGTGGACAAGGAGTGAGAGTACTGCGTACCAGGACGTGAGATCGCCGGCATCAAATGCAGGGCGTCCGTCAGGCGCATCGAGTCCGCCGCGGTCACTAAAGCAGGGCGCGCTGGGCACCGAGTTGCTGGTTCCCTGGGGCATGACCATCTGCCGTTCTAGCTCTGACGGGCATTCAGCCGGCGGGACTCGCTAAGTGGGTGGTGGTGAGGGAGCGTTGAGGGAGCGTTGAGCCACAAATCATGGGGCCGAGAGGAGTTGACATGGTGGGCATTGGGGGACCGTTGTGCCCGAGAGGGACGCGCCCAGTAGTGACGAGTAGAGTACTCCGTACATAGTACGGAGTACTGGGTATGTGGTGGGACTCAACTACCTAGGCAGCTAGGTAAGAGTACCGTGTACTCCGTACTCGTATGAGCTACTCATAGCTAGGTATGCGCGTACCGTGCAAAGCCCCGGGTTCTATGCCTCGGTTGCAGGTGCCGCCACGTTGGAACGCTACTGGGTACTCATACCCAGAACAGAACATTATGCCGGCCATGCCTAGGGAGGGCACGGAGGGTGGGCATGCTCTGCCGGCCCAACGCTCACGCAGACGGCACGTTAGGAGGTCCATAAAACACCACGCGCACCCCCGCAAATCCCAGGCGGCCAAGCCAAGATGCCAGCCATGCACGCCACAGGACCAAGAAAGTCAACCACGCTCACCACGCTCGCCACGCCACAGGCACGGAACAGGAGAATTCTGGGGTACGAATACGGAGTACGTGCACAGTACTCGTAGATATTCAGATCATGAACTATTCCACCCAGACACAGGGCCGCTACCCCTTCAGAAAGGTCAATAAGTCGATACACAGTCGTGTCGTGTTCGCTTGCATCCGGTGTGCCTTGGAAACATCACCAATGCGTTACTGTAACTAAGCGACGGTTCAGTCGGCATGGCATCCACGAGGCAGACTTCCACGGCCGGGTCCGAGTCCGAGTCCGCATGTCCACAGATGCGTGACATCAGAATAGAGAATCATTACCGGCCTAATGATTGTGTCTATACTAGGTACGGGTACGAGTACGATAGTCCAGTATGTGCTTGACGATCCCCCAACAAGCTGCGGGCCTGAACGGAGTAGAGTGTCTGCCTACACAGTACACTACAGTGGGTGCCCGCGCAGTACAGTATTTCTGCCTTTCCCACGACGAATTGAACGGTTCTCAGTCCCCAGTAAACACCGTGTTCTACTGTAGTACTCCGTGCCGAGTTCAGCACACAGTAATGCGACATCATCCCTTCAAACTACCTCGTACTTCGCAGTCAAAAGGTCCAATGCCCCTGCACCGTCGCCTCCAAGCAGCCAAGCTTGCCACGATATCCGACTCTCGCAAAGTGTGCCTCGCGCTGAACCGGACACGCCCGTCACATCACTCATGGCTTGCTTGCTGGCTTGCTTGCTTGCTTGCTTGCCCGCTTGTCTGCTTGCCCTGTGCTTTGCTTTGTTATCCGAGTACGAACCCCATAGGGAGATTCTGGACTCGCACACCATCCGCCTATTGTAATTCTTAGGTCGCTGTCGTAGCGCTCTTCCCTCGTCTCGATCGTATCCAGTCAAGCACAGCCGACACAGTACTACATACTTGACAGGGAGGAGAAAGAGTAGGTAAGGAGCCACTGCTGCGGAGATTTCTAGAATTACAATACTGTGGTACAATCAATACCTACCTACGAGATATCCATTTCGCAGTGCCGTGCGTGCGATGTGGTTAACCGCGTGTCATAACATCGTGACCGGTTATTGAATTAGTAATGACAAGAATTCCAAACGTCGCTTGCTACATCACGTCCAAGGCATCACTTTTCGAACAGCGCCACCTTGACCCCCGTGCCGCTGGCAAGCGTGATGGTCATCCATTCGCGCCATTCCTCGTCGTCTCGACTCTCGATCCGGGGGAACGTCTGGATCAGTCGGATCGTGGCGTATGACGCTTCCATCAGGGCGTATTGCTGGCCCACGCAGATACGCGGCCCGCCGTTGAAGGGGAGGTATTCCCAACCTGGTCGCAAGCGCTCCCATCTCTCTGGCTTGAACTCCAACGCGTCGGGTCCGTAGAAGTCTTCGCGACGGTGCACTGGGGTTTGTCGTTAGCGTCGTGGTGACAGGGAGGAAAGGGCAGGGCGCTCAGTTGTACTTACTCGACCACGCTGAATAGCCTACGATCTCTCCCTTCCGTACGAGGGCAGGCGCTTTGCCGTCCGCGCCGCCACCCAGGGGCAAGACGGTGTCACGGATGGCCTCACGAGTGTTGGCCGGCACGACGGGCATCAGCCGGAGGGATTCGTTGAGCGTCCACTTCAGGTACTTCATCTCCTTGATCGTCGTGTAATCGGGCTTTGCACCACCCAGTTGGTCGACCTCGGCCTTCAACTTGGCAAATACCTCGGGCCGCTTGGACAAGACGTGCCACGTGTTGGACAACAATCCAGCCGTGGTGTCCCGGCCGGCGAGGAGGATGTTGAGCAACTCGGAGCGGACGACATAGGGGTCTTGCGTTTGCCTGAGCAGGGCGTGCAGGAAGATATATCGACCGTTGGGGCCCTGCTTGCCGGTCCTCAACTCCTCGATCGCCTCGTGGATGATCTCGTCGGCGAAGTTGTGCATGATCTTGACGCTCTTCCGCCACTTCGCGTCGGGAATGAACTTGGCGAGACCGCCGGAGCGGAAGTCCTTTGCACAAGCTGTAGAGCCCCGTGCGTCAGAAACAAACGGCGCAGCACGCGGAAAACAGGGACGACGCACCTTCAGAGACGTATACAAAGGCCTTGACGAATTCATTTGCCGACTTGGTCTCCAGGCCCGGTGCAAGAGTGTTTGTCGATTTGCCAAACAGGAATTCCGTGGCGGAATCCATGGTCAAGCCGAAGAACAAATCTTGCAAATCCACGGTCGAGCCATCTCGGGGAATCGAGTCGATCAGGTGAGACACGTGCGCTTCAAACATGTCCAGATCCGCCACCTGTTGACGGGTGAAGTTGGGCCGCACCATGGCGCGCGATCTCTCCCAAGCGGCGCCGTCGTTTGCAAAGATCCCGTGGCCGAAAATGGGCAGGAACACCTCCTTACGCCTCTCCCCCAGAGAATAGTCCTGGAATTTGGTGGACAAGACCGTCTTGATGTTCTCGGGTTCGATCGTCGAGATGACTGCACTCCCGGGTCAGCGCGGCAACACAAGACCGATGAAATGGTACTGACTATTGTTACTTGCAAGCCTGAGCCTGAGCGTCTTTTTGCCGTCTCCGAAGTTTTTGATCCGGGTGGCTTCGTGCATCCGCCCTTGTTTGGCCGCTGCGACCATATCCTTGATCCTGTCGAGGCCGTACAGTTTGCCCAAGATGCCCTGGTGGGGATACCATGGGATTTCCTCACACCCATTGTCCTTGATCATTTGGCGCCGCCGAGCACCAGTCGTCATTTCATAGTAGAGCCGCTGGATGGCGTAGACGGCGACAATCGCGATCAAGATGACCGGGATGGGAACATGAGGAATCGACATGGCGGCCATGGTTGATGTTGGAGCAGTCTTGACACTATCTGACCGAGACAATTGAGGATTCCGATCGAGCAGCAGCTCCCAGGGAATATCTGGTTTCAAAGTGGACAGTGCTGCAAGTAGTTGTCGTGTACCGAAGTCAGACTACTCGGATAAAGGTGTGTCGTTATTGGATGTTAACAAATGCTCGAGCCGACCGTGTTCAGCACGCCTCCAACGGTGGTAACAGGCAGTCGCAAGCGAGGGTGCTCTCAGCTGCACCGACGAGGTGATCGACCATATGATCGAGTGTAGAGAGCTGACACGACCGAGGTCGAACGTGTGGGTGGACCGTAATTAATATGTATGTGACAGTGATGCCGCCCGGCCGCAATTGCGCTGTCGGTGAATCCGAAGTGGCCAGTCAATAAGCCAACAGCCACGCATCGTTACTCGTAACTCGTACCCTTGTAGGGTGCACGAGCCTGAAACTCGATGCGGCACGGCCTCGAATCCGGCCTTGTTCTTTTGTCATCTGCCTGTTCTTGCCAGACCGTGGAGGCACCAGAAGCGTGCATGGCGAGATGGATTCATGGAAAGCTTCGCAAGCGGGGAACCGAGACGTCGAAGCCAGCAACCCGCCCAATAATGATGGTGCATTCATCGAGCTCTCACCATCTTCAGACGCAGCGCAGCGTGAAGATGCCGAGGCATGTTTGTTGCGGCATCGAGGGTTTGCGTCAGGACCTCCAGTACGAGATACCCGGTACCTCGTATGCGATACGCAAGACACTCGACCATCTCTCGCGTCGAATCAAGGTCACAGTCTGGGGGAGCATAAACCACCAGGGGCCACTCATTGCGCCCTCGCTTCGGCGTTAGTGTGTCAACGTCTATGCGCGACTCGTACGGAGTACTGAGGTACAGGATCATTGCTCGGTTCCTCCATCATGTCAGCACTCCAACATGATTTCCGCTGCCTCCATTCGCACAT